GACAGCCAAGGTGCTGTCAACATTCAGGACTGTGCAAGAGACTTTCCCTGCAGGAGTACCTGAGCTAAATGCGCCTAAGAGTAGCCCATCAGTTAATTCCCTAGTATTTACCAATCCTCTCAGGTCTGGATACACAACTGTGGGCAATATTGCTGACTACCCCTCTAAAAACCCCTACTCAGCTGCATACGGGAAGCCTATCGTGAACAGGCAGCACGACTTGGACTCTAGGGAGGAATCTTCCCGAAGTGACACGGATTTTTCGCATAGATCAGCTCACCGTCAACCCGACATCAGTAACAAAGACAGCGACTTCTCCGACTGTCCTGACCACAGACGAGCGACTGGCCAGGGACGATTTCTTGGGAAATATAACGATCCTCATCGTCGTTCGGGCTCCAACTTTTCCGAAACAGGTCGTCACTATAACCGAGACCAGCGACTTGATCGAGAATACCACGACAGTTTCCATAGTTCGTCGCCAGATCGCTATCATAGTAACACTTCTCGTCCTATTCCACGCACAATGTCGATGCAAAAGTGGGACTTAAATCAGCCAATAGGACGAATCCCTCGAATTTCTGTCGTGATGTACGACTCGGACCGACAAAATCGGAGTCGAAGCTCTAGTCGCCACAGCACTCTTGAGAAGACGCCACGGGATTACGGACGAACTGAGCCAACGATGCACCATTCGAGTGAACACAAGAATGAATGGAACCACCCGCCTTCCGAATACAGGCGACGGGAGCCTGAATATAGACCTCGTACTAGTCGCCGTTCACCGGAGCCCAGACCTTTCTCTTACACCTCTCAGGATGACCGACGACCAGGCAACGACAGACCCCAACTTACAGAATCAGGGAGTCGCATCGAACTCGACAAAGAAATCAACATGCGAAGAGAGTTCCGGCGGCCCTACAGTTATCAAGACCTTTACTCTGATTCAAACTAGATTAATCATTTGATCGTTTTACGGGCTTTTCAATGATTCTTGTTAAAGTGCACAATCTACCATAACCCTAAAACCGTTCAAGTTGGAGAATGAAAATATTTCTCTACGACTTTCGACAAATTTTATCCTCAACAACTTATTTACCAGTTGAATTAACTTGCAGAAATCACTCCCTGTTTACTAAAACTTTTAGGCTAAACATAAAGAAATTCCTTCGATTGAATTTCGATTAAAAATTCTTGAGTATTTGTTTGAATCGCCTGTTGATTGGTTGACCGATTACACGGATTAACTGTAACCATGAATACGGTACCTACCACGAAAACGGTATGGGCCTTGATATTTAATGAACAAAACAACCATAAAAATTTTACTGCCTGAAAAAAGTTCCGACATTTCCCTATTACCTTCCCCCTAATTGACTGAAGTGTACGTACGACCAATTATATTGAAGAATGTTTTGTATGCTGTGAAAGACTAAAATAACGTGAAAATATGAATGATTGAATATAAATTTTGTATCCTCTATTTACCTTATCAATCGTTCAACAATATGATTTCTCTCGTAATTCAGAGAATAAATCGCAGCAAAAACAAAAGTTTAAGAGACTTATAGAATAGAATAGAAGTGTAGGCGTTGAAGACATAGGCCCATGGCCTGTTGCTGATTCTTGAACTTTTCGTGACTTGATTCACAAGGGATCCGGCCTTTGGAACCCGATCTTTCCATAGCTGACGATTGATTGAGATAGCTGCTGGACTTATATAATTAGATTATTATCTTCATATCTACATATATTCATGATGATGAATTCCTTTTTCCGGGGTTAATTGTGTATTAGAATAATTCTGAAATTAATATTAACGTCTTCCGACTGTGGTCAATGTATAAATTATGAAAATTATTGCAATTAATTATTGTATGAGCAAAATATTTTCATTCAGTTTTTGTAAATATAAAATATTAATTAAGGCTAAAACTAAAAAAGTTGCATAAAACATTTTACTGAATAGAAGTCCTAGATAAACAAAACAGAACGTTTCGGGCTGATATTGATGATGAACGTTTCGAGCTGATGATGGGCATAGCCCGAAACGTTCTGTTTTGTTTATCTAGGACTTCTATTCAGTAAAATGTAAAATATTAATTATACTATAAAGAAGGCTCACCGTATTCAAATCAGTTTGTATATTCTGCACTCTATTTTTATTTGATTTTCACATATTCTAATTTTCCTGGAATGAATTCACGATTCATTTTATGGTGATTTATGACCGAGATTACTTCCAAGTCAGCAATGCAATGACCTTTCAGAAGTAAGCTATGGCTCGAAGTTCAGCTTCTCACTTCCATGTATTTTACAGCAAACAATTATACGTATACATGTATTGTATATTTTAGGTTTAGTGGATACAATTGCATCCATTGAAGACGCATACCTGTCATAATTTAGTTTTTTGGTGCCTGAAGTTGCTGAAAAAAGTCTAATGTAAATCGCGAAAATTATTCCTTTAAAATTTTGTGATTTATAAGGTTTTATGTTTCCGTGACCATTAACTATTAGTATGTGCGGTCCACGACTGGTTACTTCTTCCACGGAAGTTCACAAAATATGTATAGGTCGTATATTATGATTATGATTACATGTTATGTGTAGATTCTTATGTAGATTACATATTATCTGTAGATTCTTATATCCTCCAAGAAACCATGTTCACGAGAACTTCAAAGATGATCGCAATATCGGCGACTCATCTTGTTTTTTTATTCTGAATGACAATTTATTGCTGCATTCACGATGTTATTTTAATGTTATTAATTTTTGTAATTTTTATAATATTAACAGTAATTTTTGTGCAACTGCGGCCTGCAGCACGATTGACAACTGTGTAGCTCTGACAAACCTGAAGCTTCTAGAATTATGTATAGCAGCTTACATATATGGCAATATATATCATATATATAATTATATATGTAAGATCATGTATGAATTGCCCACGTGTATGTTCAAAGCAAATCATACAAATTTGTACGATCTGGAAACGAGTAGTTTGGTGTAATGACATTCATATTAATTAATAAGTTAATAAGTCACCAGTGCGTACTTAATTGTTGCTGTATCAGGTACATCATTCATTGTCTTAGTCCCGTTTTCCATTAAAAATACATATAAATGTTCATAATTTTTTCGATTCCCTTTTGTTATGCAAAAAGAAAATGAGCGGCATTTAAATAATCATTCAATATATAAATCCTTAATAATTAATCGAGTTTTAATTAAGCATAATTTTCGGTGTGCATTGATCACTCATAATGATAACGATGGGATTTCGCCCATGAACAAAAATGCATCATTGAAATAAGGTTACCTCTAAACAATAGTTAAATCTTTCATTAATTATACGTATTTATTACAGTTTGCCTTATTGTTTGTGAGTAACGAACTCGGGTTAAACATGTGTTCGTTATTTAAAATGGCGGTAACTTTATCAGTGGATTTAATTCCATTCAATTCACGATGTATACTACAGCAATTACATTCCTTCATAAATACTTCATATTTACAGAACTAAATTTCTAGGAGGTTGTAGACATCGAATAGCAATTTGGTCGCGCAACGAGAGTTTGCTTTATCATTGTGATACCACGGAACTGATAAGCCATATCTCGCTGTCATTTATCTTCCTGCCTATGAATCAGACCAATTGTTGCTCTGACTCAACATTGAAGTTGAGTGCGGACAACTGATCAATAAAACCGGGGTTATCTTTGCGATATGAATCGAGTATGAGCACCGTGTAATAGTTCACGACCGTCAGTGCTGCGGGAGAAGCTGCAACAAGTAGACATTATCTAGCCTTTGTTATCCAGACGATAAATTAGAAACTTCCGACACAAAAGTTTGTGAGTATTAATTGTTATACCGCCTTCATGTTTACTTCCGGGGTATAATATTATATCTGTTGCAAGAAGAATGCATTTAAAATCAAGTGCATTGTGTTTTCAATTGACAGTATTTATAATTGTAATATTTATTTAAATAACGATCCATTTGAAAAGTAACTATATATGTTTAACTTTTTGGAATTAAAAATTTTTCATCACTCGCGATGGTTTCGTTTTTATATCCTAGCGGAAATTTAAAAATTGCCTATGCTTTTTGTTGACATAAAACATTATTTTAGCGAAGATTTATTAAATTATTTTCAAGTTAAACCACAAATTTTCAAGAATTAACAAAAACTGTGACGAATTAACGAAATTGTAAAATAAAATAAAGTTTTGTAAAATAAAGTTCGATTATAAAATGATCATACTGAAAAAAACGGTGCAAGATGCATGTTAAAAAATTCCATAAACGTTCTTTCTAAACTATTTTACCTCGCTACCTGATTTAAAAAGCCAACTTTAATCATCTCACTACATATATGTGATTATTATTCATATGTATAGCTAAATTAAATAATTTAATACCTATTTTACCTAATCATCTGCCCGTATAAAACTTATACATTACCATAGGCATATGGTAATTGCCTGCAGGCATAGCAGTAATTTTCCCCACACAACTTACCTAAACCTTATGATGACAACTTACCTAAACATTATGCTAACCATCTTGCTATAAGTGAATGATGAAATGACAGAATGATGAATGAATGATGACACAGAAAATGATTTCGAGTGAAAAGTCAACGGTTCATTGCGTAGACTTGTCTTTCCAGACGTTCTTCAGCAGGCAACGATTCTTGGTGTCAAAATAATATAATTTAATTTGTTTCATTATATACAAATTATTTTTCATCAAAGTTGCATATTATCATCGCGCTGCTTAATTGCACACAGCAATGATTAAGGCAACTGAGAATTAAAATAATTACAGTAATTACCATCATTTAACTTATAACGATTCAGCGCGGGCGGCAACGTCTCAGTAAAATAAAGTTTCTATTAAAAATTGTCATAATTATTATTTATATAGAATATTATAGACGAAATTCTCATATTTTTAGGGCAGAGAGGCGCAGGATGATCTTGTGCAGGATGGGACGGTGGCAGTGCGCGGTGGTCGTGACAGTCGTCCTGCACCTTCTGCACCCGGTCGCAGGTTTCTGCAATTTTATATTAAATATTATATAATATTTAATTTATATATAAATATATAATATTTAATTTCATATAATTTTATATATAAATATTATATATTATAAAAGTGTTTATTGGCGTTAAAATTATTTACGATAAAAATTGAGAATAGTAATTAAGGGATGGTGGGAAATGGGCGCTGCTGTTTAGCATCAAATGCGTAAAACCATTAAAATTAAATCGATAATGTTTAAACTATTTGCGGAAAATTTTATAATAGTGATAAGAGAAGATTGCGGAAACTATTTCTAAGGAAATAGGCAGATCTGATATTTTTTCAACATATGTTTAAAAAAATTTTTAATCTGAGACCCTTAAAATCAAATGCAATTCAATAAGAAGAGGGGGGAGTGAAGTATTGATCTGATCTGCTTTTATAGGACGTGGTTATTTTAAGAAAAATTTTTTAAGTTCTGGATAAATATTCAGTTTCAAATTTTTGTCCATGTTACGAAATTCTGATTTTAAATTATAGGGAGATCTGAACTGGCCATTCTAAACGACATCGATACACGCATCAACAACATCGCCCGTTATCTGGACCTCTTCGAACATGAGGCCACAACAACTTCCACACAAATTGTAACTACTACAGCAGAATCTACTACAGAACCTTCAGTTACTACAGTTACTGCGGAATCTACATCATCTACCGAAAGTACTGAATCCACGGTGACCGGAACTAGTGATTCCAGTATGGCAACAGACAGCTCTACAACAGGTACAGCATCTACAGGTGAAGCTTCAGCAACAGAAACTTCTATTTCCGGAGAAACTTCTACTTCTGAAGTAACGTCTTCTTCTGAATCAACTTCTGTTTCTGGAGAATCTTCTACTTCTGATACAACCACTAAAACTGATGAACCTACAACACCGACAACAACACAAACAACAACAGAAACAACACCAACAACAACACCAACAACAACAGAAACAACAACAACACCAACAACAACAGAAACAACAACAACAACAGAAACAACAACAACAACAACAGAAACAACAACAACAACAACAGAAACAACAACAACACCAACAACAACAACAACAGAAACAACAACAACAACAACACCAACAACAACAACAACACCAACAACAACAACGACGCCGACAGAAGGGGGATTGGCATTAAGGGCGATCAGATCAGCCAAGCTATCACAAAAGGAGAGGCTGGATGTTGCCATACAGACGGTCACAAATGTATCCCTCGAAATTTCTGATGGTACAATCAACGAAGGCCAGGTGAGACTTGTGATACAAGGGCACATATTAACACAGTATAAATTTATGAAATAAAGTCCTTACAATAACTGCTATTGGAAAAAGAAGCTCAACATTGAGTCTTAATATTCGCATAAAATTAATATTCATCCACGCAAAACTCATAAAATTTCCAAAAGTGAACAAATTCATCAGTTGATTTTCATTGAAAAAACCGTAGGTTAAGTGAAATGAAAAAATATAAAATAAAACTGGATATGCTATAATACAAAAAGTTGATATATATCGGACACGATGGCATATTATTTAATAATATAATAAGATTTGATTGTAAATCTGCCGGTATAAAGTACAACAAGCTTGTTAATTATATTGTTCATGATTAAATAGCTACCATTTTCATACAAACTTGGTTAAGATGAGGCTTTGTGACCGACTGAAGTATTGGCGCCCATTTTCATACAAAAGTTTCGTTGTCATCTCAGACGCACAAATTCATTTAGCTGTTATTTTTGCACATGTATACGTTGGCGGCAAGTTCATTGGACAGAAACGCGTTCATTTCGATAATGTAAATTTCAGGTGAAACGAGTACAAGGCGCGGAGAAGGAAGTGATAAGCATCCATGATGATGAACCACATGACGAATTGATCTTAGAAATCCAAAAAGATCCGAGTTTGATGGATGGTTGGCAAACGGTAAGTTGATAAAAATTTGCTTTTTGCGTTTAAGTTATAAAAGTACTGATATCATCAGTGTGCCTAAATCTTAATTATTATCCTTAGGTTGTAATCTTTTTCGATTATACACGGAATTTCACTGTTGATTGTAGTTCTAGTCTCAACATTTTTGTTGAACGTGAGATGCAGCTTTAGCTTTTAAATTCTTGATGAAAATTTTTGTTTTAATCATTGGTAATCAATATGCAATTATAACATATAATGCCTGTATTTACGCATATGAGTGTATAATAGCTGCATTGTGTAAAGTTGACCTGAAAGCCATATACCTTCCTGGTGTTTAGAGATAAACCGGGAAAATTTAAAATTTTCCCATTTTATGAACAAATAGGAAAATTTAGTCTTTAAGAATAATATCGTTGTTTCGTAGATATTTTATTTTATGGAGACGTATGGGATTTTTTGAGCGTCTGTGTCAAGGATATATACTTGACCAAAATGCATCGCAATGAAAAAAATGCATTGCATAAAAAATGCATCGTAATGAAAAAAATGCATTGCATAAAAAATGCATCGCAATAAAAATGCATCTGCTACTGTGATTTAGTTCTGAAAATATGAACAAGCCACAAAAATTTACCATGCTACAATAGGCCAGAGATAAATATAAATGTAAAATATGAATTATGTAAAATCAATATACATTCAACAATAACTGAACATTCGTGCGCTCTGCTGTTTTCTCACATTCTTGACGAGAGAGCTCGCATTTCAATGCATACCGGTGATCTATTTGTACTTATATGAGTATCCTGAAAGCAGAAAATTCTGTCTTAATAACACTTGCGATAAAAACTCGGGTTTAAACCGACAATGTAATGAAAAAATATAACTCAGAACTCACTGCAGTGAGTGACAGAGAGCGCATTTTCTCGCCGACGAAAACGTGAAGTGACGGACGGAAGGACAGACGGACATGGCTAGCACAATAGTGCATTTTTTCCAAAAATGAGAAAATGCGCTAAAAATTATCTGTCTTGCAGCAAGTGAAGGCTTCCGAGGATCTCGTGTCCGCCAAAGCAGATGCTGCCAAAGACACGCAGACGATCATCATCGTGAGCTCGGTGCTGGGTGGCGTGCTTCTTATCGTCAGCGTCGCGTTCATCGGCTACGTAATTCACGTACAGCAATCGAAGAAAAAGAAGCCGAAGCAGCCAAACTTGGCCAACAAGCAGAACGTCGCACTTGAAATGGTAAGTGAATCTGTTATGCTTCACATATAAATTGCAAATGCTAGATAATTTAATCAGCTAGTGGTACATTTCACTATTGAAATAAGCCGAGATGATAGGTAATTTTGTGTTTTATTGATGTGGTATGCTTTCCTCAGACTGAAAGGGGAGAGGAATTGGGCGTGGACAATCTTGCGATGGCTACCAGTGCGCCTTTTGACAATGGGAACAACCGTCCTCCGCCAAGTTCTGCAATACCTGAAGCTGGAAACTTTGCTCCTGAAAGAGACATTCCCAGGCAGTCCATCGCCGGCATCCAGTCCAGCAATGCAGCTGCGGACGCTGATGCCAGGTTGTCCAGATTTGAAGTCAATGGTAAGAAACCAATGTCCACATACGGCTCTCCTTATGATGCTCCAAGGGACCGTTCGCCCCCACCAAGAAGCCAATCGCGCACACGACCTTCGGAATACAGAGATCCTCCACGGGAATCAAGGATGAACGAATACCCACGAGCTTACCCTCCACCATCCAGAGACCACAGGCCACCACCGCCACGTGGCAGCTCGCACCCTCCAAGGAATTCGTCGTCTAACCGTCCACCTTCGCCCTCGAACCGTCGGAGGCATGAGTCCCCGAGGGGCCCATACGATGCCCCGCCACGAGGGTATGCACAACCCAGACCTGCGCCGGAAGATTACCGTGATAGTCGACGACCTCCATCAAACTACCGAAGCAGCAACGACATGGCCAGTCCTAGAGCAGCGCCGCCTTCATCGAAACAGCCTCGTCCTGACAGACGGGATTTCCGTGGACCGTACGGTCCTGAGGATTTGTACTAAAATTTTTTGCTCAGGTTCTAAATTTTGGCTCTTTTTTTCGCCATGAATGTAAGTTCCATTACGAGACTCAATCGGGGGCTCACGTACGTATGGGACTCTATTTGCTTTTTTTATGTATATATATTAACTGAACGACATGCAAAATCACAAATATTTTTAAAATTCAAATTTCTAAATCTTAGTTCTGAACAATGGATCTAATGTTATTAAAATAAATAAATTATTAATTAACATAATTTAAAATTAAATAGGCTTGAGCACATACTTCAAATACTGGTACTAAAATAAGTGGAAGACTATGAAGACTTTGAATTTCGTCGATTTTTGTAATCGGAAAAGTTCCCAGTTTAGGAGCAAAATATTTTAGGTTTTTGATACCATGAAAGTTTTTTGTTAACTTGGCACAAATAGTTATCGTGTGACTGAAAAAGATTTATTCTTCGACATAAACAACCACTATTTTTTCGTGATTCAGAGTGAAATACCCCCAAGCAGTGCAGGCAACTCTAAAAAATGATGTTCCACAATCAATTCATGCGACTTGATTTTTTTATTGATTAGCCACACAATGAGGCTCCCAAAGTTTTTTTCGTGATTTTGTTTGTTTTGTAAACACGAGTGAGTGTTTAAAAAAATCATGCATCATTTAATACCATATTTGAATAGCTGTGGGACCTCGGGCCGGTACACAGAGACCTGCCGGACAGCTGACAGATATATTCCCATATTTTATTTGGAAATAATACTAAACTAATAAAATACTAGAATATCAATATCAAAATACAAATACCTGAATAAAAGTGTTGAAATGGTACAGTAAAGCGCATCTGAGAATGGAAAGAATGTTATTTCTATACAGCATTTGTATTTGCTTCTGTATAGGGAGAATAAGCGGACGGCAATTAAAATTATTATCTTTAATATAATCAATACAATTAGCTTCTGTATAGGCCTATAGGCCTACAGCAGATTGAGTGCCCTATACCTATATCTCATTGCTTTTTCTAAAGTCTCGTGTATATTGTTTTTATCTCTTAATGACGCCTAATTTTATAGGATGTAATGAATCAGTTATTTAAGTGCAACGTTCTCCCTGCCAGTAAATCCGATGTTTGGAATCACCAAATTTTAAATGTACAAGAAAATTCGAACCTCTGATTAAACATTGCTGTCTGACACCTCATTTTCCCTGCCGGCTTCCTTCGTTTGCATATTTTAGAATAGAATAGAAATGAACTGGAGAAATAGGCCCATGGCCTGTTGCCGATTCTTGTACTTTTCGTGACTTGATTCACAAGGGATCCGGCCTTATGAACCCAATCTTTCCATATCTGACGCTTGATTGAGATAACTGCTCGATTTTACTTGGTAAAGTGTCATTGCACCCGAATTATTTGCTAGAATTTGAATAAAAAAGCACCTTACATTCTAAACGGACGTACGTGATCAAGGTTTTACACAGACCCACAAAATGCTTAAGAATTTTTCATAGGTTTGATATTAGTTCGTGAAACTTCAACGCCGGTTTGGGAACACTTCTATGAAATCCATTTCACTTATTTTCACTTTTTCTTTAATATCTCAGCCGTGCAGTGACCAAAACAGCGTGGAATTTCAAATTTCTGTATTAATTTGTCGTTGAGTTTAGCTTGATAATTTTTAGATGCTAATGATTATTAATTATGATTAATCTTAATTCGTATTTCAGTTGCTCTTCTATGGATCGGGTATCATCGAACTTTATTTTGTTATCACGAATGAGCATCGCATTTGTACTACAATTCATTTAAATCGACACGTAACTCACATAAAAAATAAATTACCCGAGATTCTTCGAGTTACTGTTTCTCACCAGGTTAATCTGCAAATAAAGGTTATCCTGCCACTCAGGAGTAAGCCTGCCACTCAGGAGTTAGCCTGCCACTCAGGAATTAGCCTGCCACTCAGGAGTTAGCCTGCCACTCAGGAGTTAGCCTGCCACTAAGGAGTTACCCTGTTACTCACGAGCTGTTAGATTACCACTCAGGAGTTAGCCTGCCACTCAAGAGTTAGCCTGCTACTCAAGAGTTAGCCTGCCACTCATGAGTTACCCTGTTACTCACGAGTTAGCCTGCCACTCATGAGGTAGCCTGCCACTCAGGAGTTAGCCTGCCATTCCTAATTACCTTGCCACCGCATGTAGCCCACAACTTCTCGCACACATCCTCTCGACAACAGCAAAGCTGTTCTGCTTGGTCTCATGGCCTGTCTCCAAGATTAATAACCGAATCAGGGAGTATAAAATATCTCTCAAATTAATGAGCGCAGCTGTATGAAACTTAGCACAAATTGTTCCTGTATAACAACTCGGTCTTATTTGGGATTATCTAGCATTATAAGGCAAATAATTAGGCATAGTTCGAATATTTCTACGATGGACCATAGCTGTTGAAATGACCTAATAGATAAAGTAGCTAGTAAACTTATTGATGGTCATTTGAAATCCATGTGACGTTATTAGCACGGTTTTTCTTAATCGGTGATCTTCTTTGTTTGTTCATATTCTTCTAACATACCTGTAGGTCTTCTACATGATTTGGACTGAGCTTTCTCATTCTCTGTTCCGGATGTACATGTATTATGAAATTTGTAGCATGTGTATAAAAATATTCCAATATTAAATTAATTTTATGGTTTAGCAATTTACTAATTCAAAGACGATACAATAAATTTTCCTCGTTTTCCTCCATTTAAAATCTTGAACTTCATACGTCTGAGAGCTTCCTAATTAACATTGTTCAATGATTCGGGAAATCTGCAACTTTGCTACACTTTTGCAAAACGAATTTTTATCCGACTCATACATTCATAGTTTTGTTTTACTTTTTTGGTCTCCTATTCTCAAAAATTGACTGTGACGCTATTCTTTGAAATCTATCATGCCGACATTCATACATGCCGCATCAAATTTTTCTAGTTATTTGGTTTTACTTCCAAATCAAATTTTTAAAAATATTTTATAAAAATAATGTGTTGATGAAATTTTTATAATATAGTGATGAATATCTGGAAAAAGTAACACTTTGTTTCATTTTTCATGAGTTCTAAAGTTAGATTTTTGAATATAAGTGTTCCAATCTGCGTCCAAGTTGTTGTACGATGTTCATTTTCCGTTTGTATTTTTGTTGTTCTCTGGTAGCCCTAAAGTTGTACCCTATCCGCATTCTACAGCAGCTCCCCAGCGCTTTGGATGTGAATTGTTAACAGCGGTGGTAAACTGTTGCGTTGCGCTGTTTTTATCCCATAGATACTGATCGTGATATAAACACTCGATAGGGAATGTGTTAAAAATTGAGTATCACAAGAACTTCTACTCGTATGATTGTCTGTATATCATATAGGGCTAACTCGTATTTATTGTATAATTGCTTTGCCTTTGGTGTCATTCGATTCGAGTCTCTCCTACTCGCGATGACTGATGACCCGTGACCGTCTGTTGTCAAGCGATATATACGTAGCCTATACCGAGCAATTTTCATGGACACAAGCAGCCTGTTGACTGTTTCAGTTCCTGATATTAAAATTTTCCTAAAGAAAAAGTCATATTTGATTATTTGAAAGACTGTACATACCTAGCTATCATTATCAGTTTTTCACAATCCAATTTTGGAGCTAGCTCTAATTCTCCAAAACATAGGAAGGAAACTAGGAAAGGAAGTAGGAAGGTAGGCTAACATGGCAAATTGAAAACAGGAACATCTTTTTCTGTTAGGGTAATCATTCATAGTGGCAATGGCAAACGACAGATTTTTTTAGAAACGGTTCATTTTTAATTTCCTCATCTACATAGTGGCGAAGCAGTGAGTTTTTTAGACTCTCCCTCAAGTTCATTTTTGAGTCCTATAAGTAGACCAGTAAAGTATCCTGGATACCACTCATCTACTCAAGATTTAAACAAATTTTGTTTTCAAATTGTTTGATGATAATTCTGGTTATGTTTTATTATATCTTGATAACATTCATTTTAGTAAATGCAATGAATCAGTTATTCAAACTTCAAAGCGCAGAGTTGTCTTTGCTCTTTGTCACTGCCAGATGCCAGTAATTAAATCTGAATATTATCTGATGTTTGAAATTGCAAAACTTTTAAATGTAGGTACAAGATTTCTTTGCATCCTAGGTTTCTTAGAATGCAGAAAACATGCCTCCTGCTCCTGGCTCCCAAGAAATTGCTATTAATTCATAAGCTTTGTAAATTGTAATTAAGATTATGAATTAAAATGAATCACTTGAAATAATACTAATTGAATTGTTTCAATTAGTATTGTATTTGTGACTTTTTGATTGAAGTTCAGCATAATCATTGCTTGCACTTTTTTCAGGATTTAGTAAATCATATATTTCAACCATGAGTTCCTACTTTAGCATAAAGTGAGACGTGTTCTTATGTCCTTTGTTTTGTAATGATTAGTTAGATTGATTTGGTGCATAGACTTGTGTGTGTGAGGGCACAGGTACTGGTAAGACTCTTCAATGAGTGAAGGAACCTATTCTGCTGGTGGGCTGAGTCGTGGCTCTTTCAATGGCAGTGCAGCACCAACCAGGCCTCGCAAACGTATCTACGATGCAGAAGTTAGCCTTGATGAAGAGGTGAGACTTTGAGACATTGTTGTAGAAATTTTTAGCTCTTGCTTGGCCTAATATTAAGTTTTTGAATTGAACAGTTGAGGCTTTAGTACCCAGAACTAAGATTTTTTGACTCCATGAGTCCTAAAATTCAGTTACAATGGTGATGTGAGGCTTTCAGACCAAGAACCTGGGAATTTCTTGGACTCCCTGACCTAAACTTTTATTTTTTAGAGTAAAGAGGGGAGATTTTTGGTTTTTGAACTAAGAAATTTATTGTACTTTTCAACCAACATAGTATTTATTAGAGTTGCCCATAGCCTACAGAATGATGTCATTGTGTTATTTTAAAGGTATTTGTGGCCCTAGATTATTATGGACTTGATTCAACCCACAGCTTGAATGAGTGTGAAAGAGAATTTCAATTGCTGGAAAATTCTGTTCTGGATTTTAATTAGCTGTCTATAGGTTGGTTAAGTATTTGAAGTAGAAAAGTTCACAATAAATTACATGTACCTTTTCCTCTATCATAATATGGTTTTGAAGCATTTATAATAGATTGCATTTTATATTACCTATTGAGCCCTAATTTCATTAAGGTGCCATCTGCAATGTTTAAGTCATCTGGAATGTTTTCTATAATATTTTTATAAACCAGTCCGGGCAGTCCCAGCCTGATTACACAAATTTAGACTTAGCATAGCATAATTAATTTTTTTCACAGATTTTGATATGAAAAAATCCAATAGCTTAAAAGTCTATTGTACCAAAAAAACAGCCATGCTTAATTTGTCCTTGTTTGGTCATGACTCTAAATTTTTACAGTGAAGTTATTATTTTTAAAATTATTTGATGAAAAAAATGTCCTGTAAAATATGTCTAATATTTTCATTGGTGGTATTTTTGCTTCTTGTAGATTTTGTTTCATTGGTTTGTTGAAAATTTATTAGGTTCATAGGTGTAAATTCATTTCCTACAATTTCTCATTTGATATTGAGCATGTTTTTGAGTTATACATTTTTAGGCATTATGGATTTCTCCATATTTGCAGCTTAATTTCAATACTGACTTGAAATTTTTCATACAAACTTCTTATTGCTTTGAAATTGGTCATATATTTGCATGTCGCCTCATGAGATTTATTCATAAACTTTTAATATATTCTATTACATTTTACATGATTGACTGTTAAGGTGGTGACGCGTCGTGCCGTGCACTACTCAGGCTACGAGAGCTTCAAGGACATTGCCCCCTACAAGAAGGCTGAACGCATGGCCCGGTACTCACGTCCTCGACAGGAGGGACCTTCTGCATCGGGTGTTGGTGTGCCGCTTCAGTCAGGTGCTGCACAAAAAACAATTGCTTTTTGTTGTCATTTATAGTAGGTTAAGAATTCTATATATAATACCTTAATCTTATGGCATTTGAATTCATTATGGGGTTTATGGTATCTCAGGACTCCTGCAAGTCCTCCATGATACAAGAGCTCATGACTTATTCTGTTACAGGTAGCGGGGTTACAGGGTCTCAAGACCCCTGCAAGTCCCCCATGATGCAAGAGCTCATGACTTATTCTGTTACAGGTAGCGGGGTTACAGGGTCTCAGGACCCCTGCAAGTCCCCCATGATGGAGGATGAAGACATCAACCAAGGTCTGGCTGACAACTTTGAGGACTCACTCTGTGGACTTGGCACTGATGTGTCTTCAGTGAGTGTTGCCTAATTCACCAATGTTCCCATGAGTTTGTTGCACTCATTATAATTCTTCTGTGTGTTGATTCGGAATTAAAAAATTATGTTGAATTAAAGTGGTGTTATCAAGGACCATAAAAAAATGCAATATGTGTTTAGGAGAAGAAAAAACATTTTAAACTCATTACATAGTAAAGAAGACTCTGATATAGGCATTCACTTGTTCAATTATCTATAACCTTCACAAATTGTAATGCCATTATCAACTACTGTCAACTTTGCTGTTCAAAGTTATAGGTTGATGGACCTGATAGCACCATTCACTATCACTGACAGGTGCTGCCTGCAAGTCAAACAAAACTGTACATTTCATGCAATTATTTGCCAATAACCAATTTATTTGTTCATTATGTGTTAGTTGGGTGTGTTACAGATTGTTTATAATCTGATAATAATATGATATTTTGATTTGTTTTGAATATAGTGAGATGTAAATGGTTCATATTCATCCACTTCCTATGATTATTATTTATGACAATTTATTTGTTATTTATGTTAGATTTTTAGGAGTATAGCAATAGTATATTTTGTGAGTTTTTTTAGAATTAGTTATTATTTATTAGACTTAGTTATTAACATTGTGCTTGTTATTTAGATTTGTGAGTAAGAACAAATTGTCATGAATATTTTGCAGTCAAAGTAAGTACGATGCAAAGTTCATTATCTTGCCTTTTACAAAGCGTCTTATGTAACAAAGTCCAAAAGTTCTGCAATCAAAATATGATGCAAAATTATTTCTGAAGCCTAACGCCAAAACTCTTATAAATAAAAGTATTTTATGCCTAATACCAAATATCATGTATTCCGCAGTTGAAATATGTTTATAATTTTCATCATGCCTTTCATCAAGACTCACTAGTAAAGTATAGCATAAAACCCGCAGTCGAAATACAACATGCGTGAGGCACTGCACGCTCTGCCGTCCGTGGCGACAACCATCAAGCAGGAGTCCATCTCGCTGCGCTTGGAGAACATCTCAACCACCGTGACTGGCCCCGCAATGTATGAAGACTCCAACAGCATTGACCGCATTCTCAAGTTAGTATATGGGCAAGAAGAAACGTGTAGTAAGTGATCCATTTGTAAAAATCCACGTGTAGTAAGTGATTCATTAGTAAAAATCCACATGTAGTAAGTGATCCATTAGTAAGAATCAACATGTAGTAAGAGATCCATTAGCAAAAATCCACATGTAAGTGATTCATTAGTAAAAATTCACATGTAGTAAGTGATCCATTTGTAAAAATCCACATGTAGTGAGTGATCCATTAGTAAAAATCCACATGTCGTAAGTGATCCATTAGTAAGAATCAACATGTAGTAAGAGATCCATTAGCAAAAATCCACATGTAGTAAGTGATTCATTAGTAAAAATTCACATGTAGTAAGTGATCCATTTGTAAAAATCCACATGTAGTAAGAGATCCATTAGCAAAAATCCACTTGTAGAAAGTGATCCATTAGTAAAAATCGGCATGTAGTAAGTGATCTATTTAGTAAAAATCCACATGTAGCAAGAAATTTTATGTCAAAGAGAATCAACATGTAATAAATACTACTGCATAAATAAAACTCATATGTAAGAAATGCTACATCAATTCGATTCAGCATGCAGTAAATGCTACATCAATAAGAATCAACGTAGGAAATGCTTTTTTTTAACTTGGCTTGCCATTGTTCTTAATGCCACCGATGTCCACTTTATTTTAACGTAAATTCATTTCATTTGAAATCATTTTTCCCCTGCTTGTGGTGGCCATGAATCAATAATGTAGCTGTTTCTTGCATTTCTATCACTTTATTTTGACTATATATACCTATTAAAGACGTGAGGACTTATACCAGCTAGAGGAATTGTAACATTTCTTGTCTGTAAATGATGGTACAGTTCGTTTGCGGGCAGGTTGCTTACGAATGACGGTCTGCAAGACGGCGTAGGTACAAACTTACCTCAATACCTGGCCCACTCTGCACACCAAGGGCATACCTCCAGCACCTTCTCGCCCTCGCCCTCCGAGGACGCCCTTGGACCTCCTTCCCCTTCCCCTGGAGCTTCACATGGACTCCAGTATGGAGGATCTCAGATCTCCTCTGCTAAGCTCCAGTCAAGCCATTCGTCACCTGAACTTGAACAGAAGTCGCATGAGCAGGTATGGATGGGGCAAGCCTTTATATCAGCCCTTATTTCTTGTTATTTCCTGCCATGGGCCGTACTTCTACCTATAACTTACTCAAGTACACATAGCGTCCTATGTAGCGGCTGGTTTCTCGTCTGTGATTGGTGGGTTCAACTTGAAAGCCGTCAGCAATTGGTTGACATAATTACGAACTCGTAACTTCTTTAGATAGTACCTATTGCCCCTGAGTTGCATTACGATTCTATTCAGCTTCTTATATAAGTGATTAATGATGTTCAGTCGTCTAGAATGTCCATCAGAATATTTTATACACAAGTCACGGAATGTTGTCACCAATCTGTGTTTAGCTTAGAGCATTTAAAATTAGCTCTTTTACAATTGTTCATATGTTCAGGTATCCGTGATACTTGGCTTGTTGGGCACTTGCATAGTAAACGGTGATTCAAGAATTTATTTTTGTGATAGGATGGCAAGGGTTTCCAGCGTTTTTCCTGCTTGGAATGGGAACTAAAATCGGTAGTTTTTGGTACCACCACAAGTGTTCTCGTATTTTTACTGCTCAGAACAACAAAATACCAAAATTTTTTTTTTTTGTTGGACTCCGAGTGTTCTCAGTTTTTTAAGCTTAGATCAACAACTAAAAAAGTTAATTTTTTAAGACTACAAATGTCCTCAGTTTTTTTAGTGCTCAGAACGAGCATAAAAACGGCACGAAATTTTGTTTCTCGGAACGAAGACTAAGTATGACTTTCGTTTTGCCGGACCAGGTGATCCTTGCGCTGAACCATCACAGCTCAGCGCTGCTCCGCGAGGACCCAATCGTGTCTGGGGAAATAGATTGTGATGCCAGGGATGCTGGAGGCTCAAGCAGCGTTGGTGGTGATGCCGGGGACGACCTCAGCCTGGGCTATGACGATGCGTACAGCCTTCCTGACAAGCATGACTTGCAAGTCTATGACGATAACAGGTATGCTCGAGGTTTGCCTTGTTTGAAATCAATGTACTATTTCAACTTCAATGCCAGCTTGGATTGTACTATTTCAACTTCAATGCCAGCTTCGATTTCATCTTTGATGCCAACTTGGATTTCATCTTTAATGAATTCTGTTCAAGAAAATTTCGCAGCATGCTGTGCTATCACATTATTATAAAATTTCGGGTGACGTACCTATATATTTTTCCTTGACGGTTGAATGTTCTTTGCTATGTTTGCAGAAGATGCTTAGGTTGCTGTAATGCCTTGTAGGGATTCTGTTTTAAAGTTCTAAATACTTTATTAATTTAGTATTTTTATGAAGGTTTCAGTACATCCTGAGTGTCCCCACATCGACGGCTGTGAAGAGAAGCGAAGACACGCTCTCCTACCTCAACCAGGGACAGCCTTACGAGATCAAAATCAAGAAACTCGGCGACATCACCAAGTGAGTCCCTGTGATCTTACCTTATTTGTTTTGTACAATGGCAGGTTTTATTGACTTTGTGGCTGTACGGGTTTAAGATAGAAATCGGACATTTTTTAATTTTATTTCGTCTATTGGCAAATGGCTATATAGTTTAGTTCTAGTGTTCATGATAATTTTAAATAGAATTAGTCTGCATGTTCCTTGCGTCCTCTAAACCAGTGTTATTGCTGGACTAATAGTTAAGTTCCTAAGTTGCTATAGAACTTCATTGTTAACGTAGTTTCGCTAGTTAACTATTTTCTAAGTGAGCTAGGTATGCATTTATTTATAGCTGTGCTGCTACTTCATTGTCAATAGAGCAACTAGAGCAGCCCATTCCCCAGAGCTTTCCTAGTTACACTCACATGAACGGATGACGCTAGCCATCGCGTCTCCCTGACTTGCTTATGTTAACTTTACTGAACAAGCACGGAATTTATTCCTACTTTGATTATGTTGTGCCAGTTTCATGCGCTGCCGCGTGTGAAAGTCAGTGCCACAACCACGCGTTTGAAGAATGCAGCCGCTCATAACTTTAACTTGAATGTTAAATGGCTGTCAATTATGCGTGCAGATCGCATTCTAATGTACAATTTTCAACATGCAGATGTGTTGGCAAGAAGTTCACTTCGTTCATCCGTATTTGCTTCCACGAGCGTCGCTTCCAGTTCATCGAGAAGGAACAGCTCACGCAATGGCATCAACTGCGGCCAAATGAACGGATCATTGAGGTAGGTAGTGTTTTTCTGCCGAGATAGTGTTCTACTCTTCTACCTCAATGGACGTATTATTGAGGTAGAAATCTGCCTACCCGATAGTTTTCTCACAATATACCTGAAATTCACGATTAAAATACAATTTGATTTTTTTAGTTAACAGCTCCCTCATATTTTTTTATTTGTGATTAAAATTTAGCTTAATTTTGGGAGATAACAGTTCACCGACATGTATTCTGGGGACATCATCTGAATTATTAAAATGAGATTTGTTTTATGAAAATACATGGCGTATCTTCTTCTAGAATTTTACTGTTTATGATTGAATTTAGCTTAATTTTTGGAGATGACAATTCCCTCGCCTGTATTCTGGGTCAATATTCAGAAGTGTCCAGACGAAATTGATCTTAGAAAATCGTACTAAAAATAGAAATTACCATTACAATAAAATCGTACTAAAAATAGAAATTACCATTACAAATATTACCTACTTAAGAGACTTGAGTTTTCGTCTTGACCAATGCACCTATTCAAAATTAGTCTTAAACCACAGCTTAAAATTAGTCTTACCACATCTTGCGTATCAAGATTAACTTTGCTTGTTTCCTCCAAGCAAATGACGTTAATTACTAGTTAATTTTTCTTTAAACTTTATTTCAACGTCAGACGCCAAGTGTTTTTTCTACGTAATTCAGATATGGTTAAGAGACAGAAACAATATACAGGATAATATCTATCGGTATATTAAAAAAGTTTCGGTAAATTATATAAAATGTAAAAGTCATGAATAAATATGGACGTGTAAAATATGGATTGTGTAAAAATATTATTAATATCAATTATGGTCAGATTGACGTGCCTCTGAGCTACGGGATCAGCGAAGTGCAGCAGAGCAAGCACGGCCAGGCTGTGGTGCGCTTCGACTGGGACCCCAACAAGGACGTCGCCGCCTACATTAAGGTCGCCAGTCTTTAATAGTTAAACAGCGCTGGCCGCCTACATTAAGGTCGCCAGTCTTTAATAGTTAAACAGGGCACTGGCCCTGTCTCTTATACACATCTAGATGTGTATAAGAGACAGGAGTAAGATGATATCTGAATGCACTGAGTAAGATGATATCTGAACGCACTGAGTAAGATGATATCTGAACGCACTGAGTAAGATGATATCTGAATGCACTGAGTAAGATGATATCTGAACGCACTGAGTAAGATGATGTCTGAACGCACTGAGTAAGATGATGTCTGAACCAGGGTTGGCAATGATTAAATCAAAATGATTAAATCACTTGATTTTTTTATAAAAAAATCATGATTTTTTTGATTTTTTCGATTTTTTTGATTTTTTTTATTTTTTCATATATTTAAAAATATTGAGTGGTAGTCTTTAATTTATATTGAGGTATTGTTATTCATGGTTTAGTATAAATGTACTATGATAACAGCGCTGGCCGCCTACATTAAGGTCGCCAGTCTTTAATAGTTAAACAGCGCTGACCGCCTACATTAAGGTCGCCAGTCTTTAATAATTAAACAAGGCACTGACCGCCTACATTAAGGTCGCCAGTCTTTAATAATCAAACAAGGCACTGGCCGCCTACATTAAGGTCGCCAGTCTTTTATAATTAAACAAGGCACTGACCGCCTACATTAAGGTCGCCAGTCTTTAATAATTAAACAAGGCACTGGCCGCCTACATTAAGGTCGCCAGTCTTTACTGATAAATGTGTTATGAAATTGTTCTAATTAAAGATTAAAATCGGCAGTCGTGATATACCTAAGCAGTAAGGTGAGAAATGGAGAAACAAAACCTAGTGTGGTCATTGTTGAAATAATCTGGACCTTCGTTTTAAATTTCTCAACAAGCCTTCCATTCTATTTGTTTAATATGGACTGCGTTCATTCCAGTGGTGACATGGGCTGGTATTTGGATCATTGCATGAATTTACAGCATTTGAACTAAATTTACCTATGACTATTTACCACTGTGCATCTTTTATAAAAAGTCTGTAATTTTTTCATACGAAGCAACATATAATACGTATTACCAATCAAAAATGATCATGAAAATATAATTTTAAAACATGATGTATAGGTATCGTCCATCATTCTGATATTTACAGATTGTAAGGCAGTCATTATTCATCATAATTTTTGACCCAAGTAATGTAATGATGTTACCGTGACCCACTAAATGAAATGATGTTACCGTGACCCAAGTAATGTAATGATGTTACCGTGACCCAAGGTAACCACAAGTAATGATGCTGATAATTCTATAATGTAACCACAAAATAATTCTACTGAGCAGGTGAACTGCATCAGCACTGAGTTCACTCAGAGGAAGCATGGCGGCGAGAAAGGTGTCCCGTTCCGGATACAGGTACAAAAATGGGCCATGAAATGGTATTTGTAATGTCTGTATCATGACTTTTGAGATATGGTGACGTGGATACGTGGATATAGTGACGTGGATATGTGGATATAGTGACGTTGATATGTGAATAACAATATGGTGACGTGGATATGTGGATAACAGAATATAGTGACGTTGATATGTGAATAACAATATGGTGACGTGGATATGTGGATAACAGAATATAGTGACGTGGATATGTGGATAAAGGAATATAGTGACGTGGCTACGTGGTTAACAGCATATAGTGACGTCATTATTATGTCATCAGTGTCGCAGATAGTGTGAAGGCATGCATAAAACCTTGCTCAATATCCTAGCAAATGTCACCCAAAAGTATTAATTATGTGCATATGAGATATTAGGCTCTTTTTAAGCTAAGATAAGCTAAAAAAGAAAAATGCACAATTTACCTATATTGGTTTTGACGTGAAATTGAGGTGATGTACTTTTCACTTTTGTGTGGGTCATTGCAACAAATTTTAGGCCCGGCAAAATAGCGTATCACTACTACGGTGCAATCTGCTCGTGCTCTGGGCAAGAAAATGTGTCACTATTTGAACATTATGACGCATTCATTCTTCTGAGTACTTGCAGAAATAGCCGATGTTAATAAACGCTAATACTGTGCAATAATACTGGCATACAATAATCAGCGGAAATACTTTGCTTCTTATTAGCATCAGGTTCTTTAATATCCTGCCTTGGTGTATGTATTCTCATTCAGCAACAGTGATGAGCTTTTCATAGTATAATAAATTGGTAAGGTCCTGTCGTTTTTCAGTAATTAGTTGTTGAATTCATTTTAAACTTTTATGTTTCTCAATGGAATTATTGAACTCGTGAAATTTTGCAGATTGAGACTTGTGCCAACATCGGAGGACAAATGCAGCGTCTCAACGTATGTGGCTGCCAAGTGAAGGTTTTCAAGGTGGGCAAAACGTTTGTACATAAGTAACGTTCTCGCGTAAAAATTTATAGTTTTTTACTTGCATTTTAAAAACTGTTATAAGTAACGTTTTTGCGTTCAAACACAGTTTTATTTACTTGTATGATAAAAACTGTTATACTGTAACGTTTTTGCATTCAAACGAAACTCGACGTTGTTTATTACTATTTATTTTCGTTGTCGACTTGAGGACATGTTGCTAATGATTCCATGCTAAAAAACGTAAAATACGGACCAGGTTGTCTCTATAGAAATGTGGTACTAATAAAACCTCTCATATGCACACGTAGCGCCCTAAGCACACATCGCGGCTTAAGTAAAAGTAGCGGCCTAAGTGCACGTAGCGGCCGATTTTTCGTCTGTAATTAGTAGGTTTAGCTTGAAAAGCCGTCAGTGATTGACGGAGTAATAACCTTTCAACAATTTGTGAGAACCAGGCCTCTTTGAAGTCCAGGTTCCAACGATCGTATTAGAGTCAGTTTCTCCTTAATAAATATAGTGAATATGCAACTATTTTAAATTATGTAGGAAATAATAGTGTAATGTTTTCGCAGCTGAAAGGTGCAGACCGCAAGCACAAACAAGACAGGGACAAGATCTCCAAACTGCCGCTCGAGGAAAGGGAGAAGTTCCAGGAGTCGTGCGAGTGCACCATCTTGACCACCGTGAGTCATTTATATAAAAAATTGTTAAGTAAACTGTACAATGATTATTTTATTGCTGATTACCAGTTCATCAATTTATATTGCCTACCATCTTTCGATCATTGTACTCTTTCTGAGAGCTAACATACTCGCACTAATATTGTTCTCAGTAAACTCCTCCTGTGTATCCTTAATAGGCATAAACTTAGAAAAATTTTCGTATTCCTCATAAGATTTCACACATCAAACTCGATCAATTGCATGCTATCATTCAACCTTTGTAGCCTTCTTGAGTGCAAATCTAATATTACCAATATTTTTCTCAGTATACTCCTCCTGTGTCTGCTTAATAAGCATAAACTTACAAAGTATTTCGTATTCTTCATAAGATTTTGCACAACAAACTCGATGAATTGCATGCTATCATTCGACCTTTGTTAGCCTTCTTGAGTGCAAATCTAATATCACCAATATTGTTCTCATTATACTCCTCCTGTGTATCCTTAATAAACATAAACTTAGAAAGTTTTTAGTATTCTTCATAAGATTTCGCACATCAAACTCGACGATTGTTTGCAGTACATCGGCGACGCCATCTACGCTCCTGAGGAGCGCTGGTGCTCATCTCCAGAGTCGGGGGCGGGGAGCGGTCCAGAGCTGCGTCAGGAGGCTGCCCCTGGCATCGTGTGCTCCTCGGGCAGCATCGCCGTCAGCAGCACTCCCGTGACGTCAGCCACCACGTCTCCTGTGCAGCAGTTAGTTCCTGAACTCGTCGGATGGTTGAGGGGTTCTGGGCTGGCTACGGCTGAAGGGTACAGTCAGTTCTGCGCAGACTGTGGCTGAAGGGTACAGTCGGTAGTTCTGAGGCTGTGGCTGAAGGGTACAGTCAATAGTTTTGGGCAGGCTGTGGCTGAAGGGTACAGTCAATAGTTTTGGGCAGGCTGTGGCTGAATTAGTTCTGGGCAGGCTGTGGCTGAAGGGTACAGTCAGTAGTTCTGGGCAGGCTGCGGCTGAAGGGTACATTCAGTAGTTCTGGGCAGGCTGTGTCAGAATGGTGGCAAAGTCAATTTCTTTCAAATGGGCCAGCCGCTGATATGGATTAAGTCTTAATGAACCAATCCCTCCTTGTTCAGTGAATCCTGTCTGTTTAATACGACCCCAGTGTGCCTGCTGACTGGTCATTTGAAGAGGCTATTAGTAGTTTAGTACAACAATGATCGCGTCGTGATGGTGTCTAATAAAATCAGATCTATTATATAGATAATTTTATAGATGCTTGCAGCCTCTACGGACTAACAGTGGCTGACAATACATCCTTGATACGTGTGAGAGGAGCCTCGGGCTGCTGTTGATCGAATCCAATTAAAGCACTTCGATAAAATTGAGTTGGAAGTTGCTTTCTTTACCGGAATTCATCTTTAACGCCCATGTTAAACCTATCATTTCACTTTAATATAAACTTGTGAGAAAAGAGGGAATAATGTCAAGGTTGAGCAAAGTCAATATGTAAAATTCACTGAAGACCGCCAAAACTTTTCCTGTACCTCTCGGTTTCTAAGTATAATTGAATCTAAAAGATACTACATATAAATCCAGCTTTCTCTCTTTTGTTATTTTATTTGTAAATGTGCGCAACATAACAATTATCTACTTCTGAACGCAATGCTCCGCCAGCATATTTGTGAACAGTATTGCACTTTACATGGCCGTTTTTGCAGAGAATTTCATGCTAACTGACATGTTGCATCTGATCCCCTAAGCCTGACATGTTGCCTGCATCTGATCCGTTTTGTGTTTCAGGAGGAAACTTCTCGCCTGTGTTGGCATCCCTGCTTACAGTGGCAACCCTGCAGCCACTGACTTCATCGAATCTCATGTTAGTGACTTTTACCTTAAATCTAATTTTAATGAATACCGGTATATTGTATAATAATCATGCGTGTGATTCGTTGATTTGAATCGCGTATAAACGGTATAATTGCATATTTGATTCGAATGTTATACGACAGAATATTTTATTCGAATTTCAATTTTCCCAAATCTTTGATGTAAATCTCGTGAAAGTGAATTGAGAACAAATAAGCCTCCTGAGCTCTTGCTTATTATTTGATTTTCTTGCTACTTGACTGCGTGTGTCTCGCGTTGTGTGGGACCGTGTGAAACCATTCAAAGATACCAGTTTATTTAGGGAAGAATTATGAGTGCATTAATTATGGACTCAAACATTGAGAAAATTATTCCCCGTTATTATAAGTCATATCATGCGAGTCCTCAACCATAACCATAAATTATAAAAGATCAGTTGTAAATATATGTCCATGTTGCAGTTAAGCTATGAGGAGTTGAGGGTTTCACTCTTCTATTGAAGTCTATCTGAAACTGGATCTTGAATTTTCCGAGTATATATAGAATATGCATAAATTCATATTTAATTTTATCATCTGTGACTGAGCATAATAATCTTTAATAAATATTAAAATCACTTGTTTGCTTAAATCGCAAGTTAACCAGGAATTTAAAAGCAAAAACAATACCACAAAAATTCACCATATCTTTATAAGAGAAAACGTTTCGGAGTTCAGCTCCATCATCAGACTCACAAAATTCAGTTCTAGAAGAATTTCAGTAGTAGAAACACAAATACAATCAATTAGTAAAGTAAAAGGCACTGATAGGTTTTAAATTATTATAAATGCACATTTAATTTTATCATCTGTGACTGAGCATAATAATATTTATAAAATATATACCAGTATATTTTATTGACTAATTACCTCTGTTCCAGGTCCCCGGTAGCGTGCTAAACAGCGCGCTAGAAGGCGACGAGTCCGCCGTGCAGATCCAAGTGTGGCTGAAGCATCACCGCTTCTCGAACCTCGCGGCCACCTTCGCTAACTTCACCGCCACGGACATCCTACGTCTGTCACGCTCTGAGATCATTGAGATCTGCGGCCTGGCCGACGGGATACGACTTTTTAACGCCCTTCATGCTAAGTACGTTGCTGGGCTTTAGGGTTCTTCATGCTAAGTACGTTGCTGGTCTTTAATGTCCATGTTAAGTACGTGGTTGGTCTTTAGCGCCCTTCACGCTAAGTACGTGGCTGGTCTTTAGTGCCATTCACGCTAAGTAGGTTGCTGGTTTACAGTGCTAGATACGTAGCTTCTATGTTACGCCCCACACGCATCAGGCGCTGCTGATTAATCACTCTGCCCGTACCATGCTCTTCAAATCCCCTCTATCATTAATGTTCGTGATCTGTACTCGTTATCATTGTGCAATTTACCTGATTACTATTACAAATTGCCCTTGCAGTTACCTGTAGAATTGTACTGCCAAAACTAATGAACAGTTCCGGTATTGCCTATTCTAATAGATGGTTTTATTAGGGCCAATGTGCAAACGTACGGCTTCATTACTGCCAGTACTAATGTTCTGTTCTATTGCTACCAATATACTAGCGACCTATTTTTAACAGGAACGTTGTGCCGCGGCTGTACTTGGGCACTAATGGACGCCTGTGCTAAGGGACGGTCATATTACTATCAATTTTCTAATTATGGCTTGTTTTTAACAGGAACTTAGTGCCGCGGCTGTAAATGTACACTTATAATGCTTGTGCTAAATGACTGTTTTATTACTGCCAATATTCTAATGTAAGGTTTCTAACAGGAGTGTAGTGCCGCGGTTGTACATGTGCACTAATAGATACCTGTAATTATAATGGCTTTATTACTGCCAATATGCTAATGGCCTGTTTCTAACAGGAGCGTGGTGCCGCGTCTGTATATATGCACTAATAGATACCTGTACTAATAACGGTTTTATTACTGCAATATACTAATGGCTTGTTTTTAACAGGAGCATGGTGCCGCGGCTGTACATGTGCACTAATAGATACCTGTAATTATAATGGCTTTATTACTGCCAATATGCTAATGGCCTGTTATTAACAGGAGCGTAGTGCCGCGACTGACGCTGTACATCTGCTCGGAGGGCGAGACGGTGTACAGTGCGCTGTACCTGGAACGAGCAACGTACAAGGAGCTCGTGAGGAAGCTGGCCTCCCTCTTCTCCCTCGAGCCGTGCGCCGTGCAGGACGTAGTCTGGCAGGGACCTTCAGGCATACACGTCAAGCTCAATGATGAGGTGCCTAGGCCATCATGTACTGAACGCGCTGAATGAGTTGTTGTTGTTGTGGTTGTTCCCCGGTCTCATTTTTAGAATAGACCCCCCCTCGCGCAAGTACGACACCACCGACAGGGGGTCGCTCCAAAGCTGTAGGGTCGAGGTTATGTTGTGGTGTTGTCTGAGGTCCTGCCAGAGCGGACATTCCAGAAGAATGTGAGTGATTGTGTGGAGAGCTCTCTGGCAGGATAGGCAGGTGCCTGTGTGTGCTTGGCCGATTCTGTTTGCGTATGTTTACAGTGAAGGGTGGTGGCCGCAGCGCAGCCTGGCTAGGTGTACTCTCTCTAGTCTAGAGAGCTGGGTTTCTGTGCTGCTTATGTCAGGTGGTGGGTGTCCAAAGACTTTGTTGTTGCCTTGAATAAGATGATATCTGAACTCACTGGATGAAATTATATCTGAACGCACTGAATAAGATGATTGCTGAACGCCCTGAATAAGATGATATCTGAACGCACTGAGTTAGATGATATCTGAATGCACTGAGTAAGATGATATCTGAACGCACTGAGCAAGATGATGTCTGAACACCCTAAGTAAGATGATGTCTGAATTGAGTAAGATGATGTCTGAATGCACTAAATAAGCTTTAACCTGAATTGATTGGGCCCCCTCGATTGACCGAAGTCCGATCTACGCTATACTATCTGGCAGAGCTGAATGATGTATAAAATGCTAAAGCCATTTAATGTATCCTCTGATAACGCGGAATGATGTGTTAATCTCAGATCTGATGATGTAGGAAAGTTATTGATCCCATGGGATTTCATTTTTAATTTCAGGGATCTAAAAATAAGTCCTTCTTTGCGGACATTCACAGCGTTAATATAAAATTATGTCGAAACCTAAATCCATGTTATCTAAAGTCAAGAATTCAATTTTGTTATTTGTTTTAGCTCTATTGATATTTCCTTGTTCATGTTTCCTTAGCATTTGTTTGAATAATTTTAAATTTTACTAAATTCCAACTTTATTGCCCTTTTTATGAATTTTCCTTTGTATAAATCAACGGTTAGCATCGATTGCAATTTATCCTATTTTCTCAAGTTTATTTTGTGTTCAGGTTGTCCGTAACTTCCAAGATGAGTGCCTCCTGATGTGTTCTGCTGTACTTTCTTCGCCGTCATCTCCACCATCGCCAGACTCCAAGGCCTTCTCCCTCTCCTACACTCTCGTCCTCAGAACTCAACCTCGTCCATTTGAGGGTCCGACCCCTCGACCTGCCCTCTACGAGACACCTTCGTCCCGCACTTCCCTCTTTGAGACATCCACTCCTCGCACCTCCCATTTCGAATGCGTTGCACCGCGACCCGCTCATTTCGATACACCTGAATCAACCACCCTATCTTCCAAGTGTGAGGGCATGGTTTTGCGTCCACTGAGCTTTGACTTGACGGTGTCCCGCTCTCCCGTCTTTTGTGCTACTACATCGAGCACCGGCAGCCGCCCCATCTCGGCCAGTTCGCAAGATTTCAACACGCCTGTTCGACAACCATTTCCGCATCTGACGAGCCATGTCCCGCCTCAGTCTACAACTTCGTCGCAGGAGCGACCTTACAACTTCTCGACGCCAGGACTGACCACCACCACCACCACGTGCACTCCATCGTCTTCTTCGTGTGAGCCTGTGCCACTCTCGATGAGTAACAATGCCCGTATGCAGCAAAGCTCTACATCATCGTCGTCGTCGTCGTCTGAACGACACGTGTACCATCTCTCACCGCCAAGCACGTCTTGTTCTCGTCAGTCACCCATCCCTTGCTCCCTTGGTAATGGAACAAGTCTCTCACACGCTCTTCAGCCGCTGCATAACTCCCTGCCATGTTCGTCATCTGCGGTCTATTTGTCCAGCTCCAGTAGCTGCAGCAACAGCTCTGTGCCACCACATCATGTCAATACATCGCACTTCCACAGCTAATCACAGTCTAACTCTTATCCGTCCTTTTTTTTTATTTCGCATGCATCTGCGAACAAAAATTGTGATACGTTTTCATTTTTATCAGACGTTGGACTATTTCACTTTTTTTGCTAGGTGCTATACCGATGATCTTATATTCTTGACGATGCTTTTTATTTATTTATGACCACCAATCACTATATATGGTATTTTTAAACGAGTCTCCTAAATTTCATAACCTCTTTCTTTAAAAAAAAGATAGATGCTTTACAAGATGTTTTGTATCGACATTAAGTGTTTATAGATTAAAGATGAAGCGCGAGAGTAATATCTAAATATTTTTGTAATTTATTGCTAATGACGAACTCTCATAATTTATAGTCTCTGAAAAAGACACAAATTCTGGATATGTCCTTTCATCCGGTCCCAAAATTCGCGTATAGGCTTACTTGGCATGCTTGTGATGGCTGTAATTGTGCGCTACTACTGACGCTAGGATGTCTTGTCTCACTCACTACTCTTATTCTATTGACTGTAGGCACAATATATAATTGTCCACAAGCATCCGATAGCTATGCCGGTACATAAAATACATAAGTTTCTCCTTATACCGGTACATTTCTAACGTTCATAGTCTTTTTTAGCCTTTACTTTTTGATGGTCGATAAAACACTATTGAACTATCTCGCATGCAGATGCAAGCAGCAATCTATCACTAATGTTGTAGTCGTAAAGATAATGTGCGAAATGAAGCTGAACTTGGTACTGTTTTGCCTTGCTTTTCATGTCATTATATTGCAGATGTTCGTTTTAGTTCAAGTATTCTGATTTATCCGGTTTATTTATCTGTTTGTAATTTATATTCAGCCATTGATGGGCATGTACGCTGGGTACCAGTCCTAGAAATTTGATGCGGTTGAGGCAATCTAGTGACATTAATTACCAGTACTACTTTTGATTAAACGTCGGATTTAGTTTCATTGAATGCAACGTCAGTTTGTCGACCAACACAAGACATGTGAAGTATATTCTGTGTAGCTTGAGTGCTAAATATGCCAGGACCGCGAGTGTTTTGTTGCTGCAATAATGTTTGTCTCCCAGCCTCTGTGTTAAAAATACTTGTGTTAAACTAAATGGGGAACGGAAATTAGTAAGCAAAATAAGAAATTTGTAAGGTTGGTGTCCTGCTATGTTGCGAGCCTCTCAGTAGGCGTTCGTGTATTTTAGCGAAGTTAATTTTAAGAAACATATTTGAAGGTCTAGCTTCGGATCACGAGAAGCTCCCGTCGCCTCCTCTCCTGTGCTATCTGAGCACAGGTCTAGCGAGAGTTGCTGAGGTTTAGAGAATTTCTAAATTAGATGTCATTTGTAAAAGATTCGTCGTAGCAAAGAGATGTTGCTCAGTGAGCATCAGCAATAACAGATGCCAAGTCAGAACAATAATGTTATGGGGAAATCTTGCCACGTTATGATCTCCTGGATTATTTAGTGTCAACTTCTGTATGACGAGGCGTAGCTTGCCATTAGCCTTTCTGGAGTGCAAAGCTCCTCGCAGCAGACTAAAATGTAATCAGCGACTGGAATTAAGGGGAGTTTAATCCGTCCTAAATCTAGTATTTGACTGATATCTATTTACCTATATTTTTTTCCTCCGTAACAGTTTAAATTGTTCATAATCTCTGACGATCCAAGTTGAAGTGAGATTCGGGTTCATTTATTCAAAGATGAATTTTATATTGCTTCTGCTTGGATCTTGCTTATAATGTGTGCCACAAAATGCTGGCCTTGTATCCTTGTTATGCTTGCTTTTCTCAACATGAGAAACTGAAAGTAATTCGCAGTAATGTGGGATTTCAGGCTGAGTTCTACAAAATAAACCTTCAGTTTCCTGAGCTGTGAGAGCGTTGACCTGCCTTGCAGAGGTGGACGCAAAATTTGTTGTAGTTTATCCACCGGCGATGGCCTCTGAAGTGTTCATAATTAAGATGTTGCTGGTACTTTAATAATGTTCGCATCTCAGCCACTCAGCGCGGATTACAGCAATAAGAAGAGTGGACATGAGTGCATTTATGTTGCTTCACCCAGTATAATTATAATCATGTTTACGCTATACCAGGAGCAGCGCCTTCATGTGTCACAACATTTATGGTTCTGTGTGCCACCTTAATCTTACAGTGTTCAGCATTGTTCTTATTTGTTAGAACTAAGTTATGTCCTAGATTTAAAGTCGTGTCAGACATTCGGTTAGGCTGAAAACTATGAAATATTCCGCCAAGTACAAAACAAAGTGTCCGTTTAGACGCTCCTGCTCTGCAAAAATTTATTCGAGCACTCACATTTTATTTGCTTCAGTTTATATCTGTACGTCGACTGTCGATGTATTAGAATGAACTGAGTTGTTAGCGCCGTCACTTGATAGTTTATAATTCAAAGTTGTAATGTGCCACTCTTGCTATCCGGTAATGTGTTACTTAATTTTGTAGAAAAACAGCTGATCGCATTACACTTGTAACTGGGCCTTGTTAAACGTTAGTGGTTAAACACACGAATTCCTCGTCCTCTGTACGGAACTGTACGCTGATTTTTCAATGTTATTGAGTTCATTGCTTGCGGGTCTGTGCCGGTTTTAGCGTGCGGTCGGACGGGACGTGGACTTGAACTCAACTATTTTTTGGGCAGTGGGCAGTGGGCTGATTGGTACATTAGTACATTATTGGTACATTGGGGGCTGATGTACATTAGTGTATTAGTGTCAAGTAATGTACATTGTGTCAAGTAATGTACATTGTGTCAAGTAATGTACATTAGTGATGTACATTGTGGGCTGATTGGTACATAGCCATTGGGCAGTGGGCTGATTGGTACATAGCCATTGGGCAGTGGGCTGATTGGTACATAGCCATTGGGCAGTGGGCTGATTGGTACATGGCAGTAAATAACGCTCTGTCAAGTATCGTCTAATTTTGTGTTCTAAATTTGATGAGTATCGACGGAATCCACTTGATGCACTTCGATAGGTGTCATGTAAATTTTGATAGCATCAACACCGGCGCGGTTTTTGTGGGAACAAATTTACTGCATTGACAACATTTTCGTATCTTGGCCTTCCTCGCAAACTTGTTCAGTTGCGATATTTATTCTTTCTGAGAGCCCCAATGTTGCCTCTGATGTTCATTGCCGCTATAAAATCTGAACGAAATTGGATTTCTCAATTTCGCGCCTTCATTCCAGTTACTGCCGAGACAAACGTGTCCGTTGAAACACAGGCGTTTGAATCCTTGTATACATTTGATTTACTGATGGGAAGAGGCTCACAAACAAGTGAACGTTTTTCATGTTCATTTTGGAGTATCGGGTGTCGGTGCTAGATAAGCTGGCGTTTTTTTCAAATTATGATTAATATAGTTGCCGGGCAGGACCTGGGATCGTGTTGCCATTTTGCGAAGCCTAGTATAGAGGCGAATATACTTAAGTCGTAGGCGTTTGATTGATTAGTTTTGCCTCTTTCTATAATTTAATATGAATATCCTCTTTTCAATGATCAAATGGATGACCGAGTTTGCAAAGAGACGAAAAATTGCTTCCAATTCTTATAATTGTTATAAAAATTTCTTAACAACGGATATTGTCGTCTGTTCAGCAGTAGTCTCCTTGCTGAAACCGTCTGTAGCTGATCGTACAACAGCCGAGTGTGGCAAAACACGATGAATAATTTTCATGTTCTCAATCGCCTCCATGTTTCCGAGTCGTTTGGAATTAATATCGCCCTAAACTCTCTTTTCAAATGCCTGTCTCTCATTATTTATAATTTATTTGATTAATTTAGATTACAAAAGTTCTACAGTATGTTATTAGAAGGTTAATTTCCATTAGATTTATTAAATATGTTACAACGAAGCAAAAAGTTACACTTCAAAATTGCTTTTTGACTGCCGTGAAAGCAAATCTATTGCTCTGATTGTTACCATTACACAGGTTCTAGTACAGCTCTGATCGAACCACTCTTTAGGTCTTGTTGCTACGGTGAATGCTTAAAACACTGATGACTGTATTGAATAAAACTTGGAAATTTTACGTATTCTAAAGCTACATTACATGACAAACTATTGCATCATTTTAATGCCATGAAAATGATCTAACGACTAAAGTTTATGCTAGGATAATCTGCCATATTTCGAAAAATACACTTTCCAGTAATTTACGCCCTGTTCTAAAAGTCTGAGTTTGACGGAACCTGTTGCGTGTAATGCAGAGTATGGATTTTCATCATTTCAATTTGCCTTGACCATAGCAGTGCTCTGACTTGCATGCCTTCCGTGCATTCGAGCGCACTTTTATCTAGTTCTTCTTTGCCTCCTTGACCCGTGTAAGATGATTATTTGTCCTATCTCTTGTTAGATCTCACGACCTATGCGTTTCTTTTTTATGTACGATAGTTGGTAATTACATCGTTCAGATTTATGTATTAGTTCGTTATCTTAGGGGGTCTCGCATACTGTAATGAACATTGCCGAATTTCTTATGCGTGTGGATTTAAAGTGTTAAAATTCCAATTAAACATGTAATGAAGACATCGATTAACCCTGTTGTTCGCGTTTATATTACTCTTGTGTCGAGTTTAGGCCTAATCCAATTATCTAAGATCAACGATCCTATTGTGTGCCTCTATCTCGACCAAGCTCGGCAGTATTCAACTGGACGCCTTCAGCTGAGCTGCATCATCGTGTTCAGCCCTATCAGAGGCATCAAACGCTCGTCCTTTACTGACTGTTTAATGCCTACTTACTCTTAGTAGTAGCGGGGCATCTTTACGTACGCTACAGTTGCGTAAAGGAAAGTTACATACGCTACATTGATGATGAACGTTATGAGAACATTGCAAGATGGTTACTACTTTAGACGGTATGCCGTTGCTTGCCACAAGGGTAGTTACGCCTTAGTAAATCCAGTGATCCTACTTTTTGTTAATCGATACGAATGATTTATATCTCGTATATATAAATATACTATTGTTATTGATAGATAGGTACTGTAAATATATTTTCACATGCACACATATGAGTTTTATTTCTGGCTACTGTCTAGAACCTGATGATGCATTAGCCTGAATACCTGTCGATGATCATAATCTTGGATTTTATCCCATATCACAATCGATTAATTTCTTCGTATTGTAGTATCGATTCGTCAAGCGTGATAAACTCTCTGTCTTCCTAGGGGCATTATTTATGTGCTCAGTACATGGAGATCAATGGTACTGAACTGTTAATTCCGAATTGTATGGTTGGATTATGCGAAGAAAGTTCCCTACTTCTATGGTTTTGATCTAGTAAGGGTGGCCGACGTCTCCTGTAGGCGACCTCTGTTTCGAGTGCCTTCGTTTCCACTGCTGTCAACCTGTCTCTCCTTCGTTCTATCCTTCTCCCATTTGCTAATAATATTCATTTATTGCAACTACTGCGAGCGAGCAATTTTTATCTTTTACCACCTTCTGATAACTTATTATTCTTGACTACGTGAATTAATTTGCGTTATACGTGACCTTCGTCCTATTTTGTCATGCTTAATTCGATATTGGTTCATTCATGGGTTCATTAATTAGCGAACTGGAAAACTTTAGATTAAATGAATAAATGAATTTTTCAATCATCTACGATATTACGGCAACATCAAAGGTGGTTGGTTGGTAATTATTTTTGAGTCCTGTGCTCGTTTAGTCATGTACTAGTGTACTAGTGAAGTACTAGTTTAACCATGCGTTTAGTATTTGGTTGAAAAATTTAACATTTTTCTGAACGTAATGAAATATGTAGGAACGGCTCGGTCCGGTTTTCAACGAGTGCCTCCTGTCACTTTTTACTAGAGCCTTTACTTCAGGCTTAGCGGCGGTCGGCCGCGTTACACTTATCCCGATTTCTAATACGCACTGCACAGAGATTAAACCGCTACTAACTTTGCACAACTAATAAAATTTGTAGGGAAATTAAATTGATCGTTGATTGTGCGACTCTTTTTTTCATCAGTTAGAGCTTGGCCTGTTGCCGTGCCCGTGCTCAGCGTGCTGCGCCTGGCGGCCTGCAGCGGTCACCACTCACCGGTGCAGGCTGCAGCGACGCATGTACGAAAAATTTAGTACGTCTGTCGGCGTGTAGGGCCGCCCGGCCGTAGGACGGTAGGGGTACCTAGTGAAATTTCCACTTGGGCCTGGTAGTAGTATCCATGATACTTTGCAGACCTTGCTTGCCTACTTACAGGAGCAATAGGATAGGAGTAGGAAAGTAGGACTCAAAAAAGAACTTGAGGATGAGTCTAAAAAACTCCCTGTTTTGCCACTATGCGTGGCGGCGGAGTTTGGAAATTGGATTATGCAAATGCAAGAGTAATGTAATGTAAAATGCATAGCTATAAAACAAAAAATTTATATGTGTCCATTGTCCAAGTCCAACTGTCTGGCAGACTGGCACTGGCAGTTGGCGCCAGTAGTGCAGTGCTGCAGGGCGCAGTACATCCACACTTCCACAGGGCCTCAAGTTCATTTTTGAGTCCTATAAGTAGACCAGCAAGAGCAAAGTATCATGGATACCAGCATTATCATTCATAAGAAACTGGTTTAAATCTTGAATAAATGAGGAAATTAAAAATAAACTGATTCTAAAAAATCTTTGGAGTTTGGTTTGCCACTATGGTAGAGGAGGTCAGGAGGAAATTGAAAATTAACCAATTCTAAAAAATTTATGGTTTGTCATTTTGCCTTACAGTAGTAGACAAAAGATAAGACATGACTTCTGGATGGGATTCTTATGAATAATAGTTGAAATAGTCAAGAAAAAAGCCGGGCTGCTTTTTTAAAATGCATGAACATTGAACAATGAGCATAAACTCTAGTATGGAATATATCTACTTGGCAGAAGGTGGTGTAACGCGGTGGTAGGGTTGGTATTTCGATACGTTTTCTTATATTGACATGAGAATATATTACCTATACAGAATTCCACACTGCTAAGTAGACCAGTAAAATATCATTGACGACAGCATTAGGTATCATACATAAGAAATTGGTTCAAATCTTGAGTAAGTTGAGTAAAGGAGGTCAGGAGGAAATTGAAAATTAACTAATTCTAAAAAATTTATGGTTTGTCATTTTGCCTTACAGTTGTAGACAAAAGATAAGACATGACTACTGGATGGGATTCTTATGAATGATAGTTAAAATAGCCAAGAAAAAGGCCTGGCTGCATAGTGGCAAAGCAGAGACTTTTTTAGACTCTCCATCAAGTTCATTTTCGAGTCCTATAAGTAGACCAGGAAAGTATCCTGGATACCAGCCTTATCATACATAAGAAATTGGTTTAAATCTTACGTAAATGAGGAAATGAAAAATGAACTGATTCTAAAAAATCTCTGGTTTGTCACTATGCCTGGCTGCTTTTTTAAAATGCATGAACATTGAACAATGAGCATAAACTTATGGTCAGATGGGGTAAGTTGGTAAGACAGGACCAAAATCACTAACAAGCCTGTAGCATCTATACCATGAATAACTAAAAAACCCTAAACCTATCACATTCATCAAGTGAGTAGACTGTAGAGGACTGCTATTTTTTTAAATAAATTTTTAATATGGCAAATATTTTTTTTTTGCTCCAGACCTTACCTTAGTAGAGGTACTTTTCCAAAATTGCACTTTTCACACTTTTTTCAGGAGTTTTTTAGTGATAGTAAATGTATTATTTCTTAATTAGCTTTATACGTAATAGATAGTAAAAATGTTGAAGTTTATGCCACTATTTTTAGTTTTGCAATATTTTGATTAGTTTAGCTGCTACAACATTTCTACAAAATGGGAGATGCTCATTCTGATTTACCCCGCCCGTTCCTTATTACCCCGTTTGATGGTAGGTAGTGAGTTTTGAAGTTGACTGTCATCAGTGTGTCAGTCAGAAAGATGCTTAAATACAACTTGGCAGTATTAAACTGCCTGGAATGTGCCTGAAGTGCAGTGGCAACTGGACTACTTGTATATATTATTTGTCTGCTTGAATCACAAGTTCACCAATGATATAAAAGTGAGTTGAATACCAAGATAGATATGATGAATTTACTCTGCACTTTCATAGCTTTTAAATACTTGGCAAATGGAGAGTCACATTTTTGAAAGAGATTAAAATTATTTTCAAATTTTCAGAATGCCAAATGTTTAATTTGCTCACATGAATCAATCTAAATTACCAATTGCAAGATGAGGCAGTGCAAAGAGTGCACAGAGTCTCCTTCTTTGCCTCTTCATCCCCAATTTTCTCCAAATCCCCCACCCCCTACTCTTCCCCTCTATCCGCAAAATGTCAGACTCAAATGGGGTGAATATCTCAACAACATTTGGCTTAAGGAGGCCAGCCAAGCTGTTGTGCTCAGAGAGACAACTCTGCCCCTCTACGAGAGACTTCTTGCTAATAAGGTTAGTTAAGATTAATAGTTAATAATAAGTAAAAATAATTAATAAGCTCATTTATCAGGTTTAAACATGGTTTCAAAGCTCAACAAACCTGGCAGCTAGACACATAAGAAATTTGAAATTTGTCAACTGATTTCTTGTGACAATTTTTTCTTTCTAAAATACTTGTTTTGGTTAATATAAATTTTTAAAAATTATTATTCATTTGGACTTAAGTATAAATTCCCTGATCGGTCAACATCTTTACGGATTAGCTCAAGATAAGACTGCCTTATATTTTTTAGTTGTAACATATCATATATCCTCCATTTTCATCTATTGTTCTCAACAGGAAGTGCAAGTTCTCCTGCAAGGAGGCTACAACAGCCTTGTGCTGGCAAATTCTTCACTGCCAGACTATGAGCCTAAACCACCGTCTGCTGCACAGCAACTTCATCATGTAGATACCTTGCTTGCTGCTCAGGGACAAATGGCAAGGTAACCAATTTATTTTACTTCTTATATACCAATTTACTTGAGGTAGAGAGATTATTTAAAAATCAGATTCAATATTGTATTCTTTTAAAATTTACCACTTGCAATGGTCAGGTTACCTAATTATTTCATTTACTTATAAATTCTCTTAAGGAAGAGAGATTTTCCTATTGAAAACAGATTTTTAATGCTCATTTTATACATATATCATTCATGGTTTATTGTTCTTCTAGAATTGTAATACATTTTTATATATTTTCATTTTCTTATGTATGTGATGCTCTTCAATAAATCAATGACCACCCATACAGATGTTAACATATGTTCCAATAATTTGCAAGCTAGTGCCTCACTGGTAAACTGCACAATATTTTATCTCTTTTAGTAGTTTATCATATTTTAATTAATATCTGCTATGATCAGGTCATCTTCTGCCAAGCCACATTTCTCTACACTGCTGCATAAGAGGCTACTGTTGCTTCAGAGATATTTCCATGCTTTAGCTCGGGTCTACCACGCTCCTGATCTGCCTATTGCAGTGAGTCCTAAAATTACACAGCCAATTTGTTCATTATGTATTATGTACCCTCAAAAAAATGAGTGAAACTTTGTCCAAAATGCAATACACTTTTTGCTATTACATGGGTCATCCTGTTTAGCCTGGCAAAATGAGCATATCAGAGCTAAATGTGCTTTCTGCTTGTGATGGTGGTAAGAGAGTGTGTTTCTATTTGGACAATATAACCCATTCAATATCCTGAGTGTATCTGGTTATCTAAGATGCTTCACACTCTGGTTCTATGCAGTATAACTATCTTCATAGTTACAAAGTAATATGTGCCGATATGGAACTTTGGAACTAAGTGAAATAACTTTTATTGTGACATTTTTCCATCTTAAAATAAGAATAGTTAGCAATAATTTTCATGATTTGATTAATTTAGGATGATGCTAAGAACAATTTTCATGTTTTAATTCATTAGGACGATGCTAAGAATAATTTTCAGGTTTTGATTCATTTAGGGTGATGCTAAAAACAATTTTCTTTTTGATTCATTTAGGACGATGCTAAGAACAATTTTCATGTTTGATTCATTTAGGACGATGCTAAAAACAATTTTCTATTTGATTCATTTAGGACGATGCTAAAAACAATTTTCTATTTGATTCATTTAGGATAATGCTAAGAATAACTTTTATATTCTGATTCATTTAGGATGATGCTAAGAATAATTTTTATATTTTGATTCATTTAGCATGATGCTAAGAACAATTTTAATGTTTTGATTCGTTTTCTGTACTTAGAATCATCAGAGTTCATCCCCTGATGATGTGGGCTCCTCGACCCGCCCTGCGGGCTCATTCGCAGGCTGCATAGACCCTGCGTCGCTACCTGCTGCCCGCATCACCAGCTCTAATGTGTATAATTCAGGCTCCAGAATGCCATCATCGCAGNACTTGGTCGTTAGTTAACTGATTCTTTTTCCACTGAATAATGTAAAGAATTGACCCAATTACTCATAATGTTTTTTTTATATTCATTTAATATAATATATAGTATAATATATGCAAATATATATTTTATTTATAACATTTTATTACCTTGTCAGTCATTACATTAGCATTTTTTCTTTCCTCATCAATTTGTATAATCACCTTACTTGAGGAACATGTGTAGATTGTGTTCCGGGTGCTGTATTACTATTATCCTTGTCTCCTTGCTTTAGATCGATCATTTATCCAGCCATTCCCATTCATTTATCCATTTCCATTATGCCACTCATTTATATTTGTTAACTGGTATACTTTTATAGTTTCATGTATTGATTTATTTCTATTAATGTACTCATTTCAATGCATTCTCTCATTTACATACACTTCCCCTCACCCAACTTATTGAAAAATTTCCATTGACACACCCCCATTTAATTTCATAACCCTTTTCTATTGACTCGTTCATTTCATATTTATTCGCCGATTTCCATTCATTGAATCATTCATTTCCTATTCATCCTTCAATTTCCATCCATTGGCTCATTCATTTCCAATTCACCCACAGATTTTCATTCATTGACTCGTTCATTTCCAATTCACCCTCAGATTTTCATTCATTGACTCATTTATTCAGCGATTTTCATTCATTGACTCATTCATTTCCAATTCACCCACAGATTTTCATTCATTGACTCATTCATTCAGCGATTTTCATTCATTGACTCATTCATTTCCAATTCACCCACAGATTTTCATTCATTGACTCATTCATTCAGCGATTTTCATTCATTGACTCATTCATTTCCAATTCACCCACAGATTTTCATTCATTGACTCATTCATTCAGCGATTTTCATTCATTGACTCATTCATTTCCAATTCACCCACAGATTTTCATTCATTGACTCATTCATTCAGCGATTTTCATTCATTGACTCATTCATTTCCAATTCACCCACAGATTTTCATTCATTGACTNGTGCTGAACTGCTCGCATTCTATTGTCTTCTATTACATAAATAATGAATAAATTACTGATATTTGACAACATGTGCACAGGTCGTCGTCTGAGTGCTGAACTGCTCGCATTCTATTGTCTTCTATTACATAAATAATGAATAAATTACTGATATTTGACAACATGTGCACAGGTCGTCGTCTGAGTGCTGAACTGCTCGCATTCTATTGTCTTCTATCACATAAATAATGAATAAATTACTGATATTTGACAACATGTGCACAGGTCGTCGTCTGAGTGCTGAACTGCTCGCATTCTATTGTCTTCTATCGCATAAATAATGAATAAATTACTGATATTTGACAACATCTGCGCAGGTCGTCGTCTGAGTGCTGAACTGCTCGCATTCTATTGTCTTCTATCACATAAATAATGAATAAATTATTCATATCTGACAACATGTGCGCAGGTCGTCGTCTGAGTGCTGAACTACTGGCATTCTATTGTCTTCTATTACATAAATAATGAATAAATTACTGATATTTGACAACATGTGCACAGGTCGTCGTCTGAGTGCTGAACTGCTCGCATTCTATTGTCNTACACATCTAGATGTGTATAAGAGACCAGCATAGCCCTGCAGAGAGGATCGCTGCGTTACTTGCTGCATTGGATGCATCTTGCGCTCACACCTTCCCCAGCACATCAACAACAAGGGTTAGAGCTTCTTGCCAACACAACCGCTGTTGATTTACTGATGATGAATAGCTAGATCTTTGTAGTTTTACGCTAAATGAATGAACGCTGTTGTTTTATGGTTATTAAAAACTAGAACTTTGTAGTTTTATGCTAAACAAATTAGCGCTGTTGTTTTATGGTTATGACAAACTAGAACTTCGTAGTTTTATGTTAAACAAATTAGCGCTGTTGTTTTATGGTCATGACAAACTAGAACTTCGCAGTTTTATGCTAAATGAATGAACGCTGTTGTTGTATGGTTATGACAAAATAGAACTTTGCAGTTTTATGCTAAATTAATTAGCGCTGTTGTTTTATGGTTATGATAAACTAGAACTTGGTAGTTTTATGCTAAATGAATTTGCGCTGTTGTTTTATGGTTATGACAAACTAGAACTTGGTAGTTTTATGCTAAATGAATTAGTGCTGTTGTTTTATGGTTATGACAAACTGGAACTTTGTAGTTTTATGATAAAATCATTAGTGTTATTGTTGTGACGACAAAGTAGAGCTCTGCTGTTCTAAGCTATAAACATAGTCGTTAATTTTATTGTGGTTTTTAAATATAACTCAGCAATCTTATTCTTAAGCTATAAACATTTTCTTGCAGAGCCACAACAATCAACCGTGCATTTCTGGAAGATGCCATTTCCTTCATAGACTCCGTAGGCTCAGTACCGAAGCATAAAACTACAGATCACAAACCTACGGAGACTGTGAACGCTGCAGAAGAGGTGGCGGCCGCTGCTGCTTCCTATTCTGCAGCGACTGACAACCGACACGAGCCTTCTACATCGTCAGGAACATCTTTTGATGTTCAGAAGTTTGCAGCTGCCGCGGTGTCGCAAGTAAATCGTCTTAGAAGAGACCCAAATGAGGGACTAGGTGCTGCTTATACAGCTGGTGGAGAAGGATATTCCAGCTATCTCATTCAACAAGCTGTTAAACATCTGGCTTCCGTGTCACAACATAAACCTGCAGGTCACAATCAAGCTGAAATTAATCTCCATTTGAACAGAGCAACTGGTTATGATAATAAAACCTGCTCTGATAAATCAAAAACACCTGTTGTATCTCTACAAAGCCCCACTCAACCAGAAACTTCTGCCCAAACTTCTGTTGCTGCAGAGACTGCTAAACACGAGTCAACAGATGGTAGATCCTCGAAGCTGCTGTCACTCCTGTTATCCAAGAGTCAACAGAAAGAAGACGAGCTGTTATCGCTACATGAAGCTGCCATGATGCTTATGCAACGAATCTGCGCCCTATCATGTGAGTATTATTTATTATTTATAATATATATTATTATATTTTTATTCATTAACGACTTTCCAAAAATACTTTATGTTTTCAGCCAGTCTACTGGATTTTTGAATTATTTTGGTAGATTTTAGATGCAATTTATCGATTGTAAAACCTACAAAATATACGACTGTTGGTGTCAAATTTTGATTTAATTTAGCGATTTTTTACGCTTGCAAAACATCTCACTTTAGTTTAAACGTGTTGTGTAACAGTGTATTTTGTTTTGAGAACTTATTTCACTGTAGTTATCAATAAAAGCTTTAAATGATGTATTCCGGGGCAGAATTCTTAACACCACTATGGTTACTTTGTAGCTGAGCATGTTGGTGATCTAACTAATGTTGTGGCACCGTGTTTGGCCCCACATTAGTGGCCCAGCCGAGGGTGCTGACAGCCAGCCATCACAGTTAGGCTTTGCTAGAGTTATGGGGCCTTACTGTACAAAATAGTTATGAGTTCGTTACTACATCAGCCAATCAATGATGTCTTTCCAGGCTTGACCCACCAATCACAGACGATAAATTGTCAGTTAGGTATTCCTGAGCGAGTATTGATAGTACGACCTCTGTTGTATTAAGAGCTGTTGGATTGTTTTCACATTGAATATGTTAGCGACTTCATATGTTTTCTCGTAATCTGTTTTCTCGTAATCTCATGGAATTTTTCACGTTTATGTTGGGTCTCCTCATCATGTATGTAACGCGTCTTGTCATATCTTACAGTGGAATACACTGCCGCTTGCTGCGAAGAGACCGTAGAAGTTCCCTCAAACTCGGCAGTGACTAAGACAGGAAATTCTGCAGTCGACGAAAGCGGGATCATAATTCAGGATAAAGCTCCTCATTGCAGTGACACATCCGATGACTCCATGGTTCCAACCCAGGCTCCAACCATCAGTGTCTGCATGGACTCCAGAGAAGCTCTTGCAGACGCGAGAGCATCTCAATGTCTTCTGGACTCAGGAGCATCACAGCCTCTTGCAGACTCAGAAGAATGGCAAGCTCTCGAAAACTCAGGACCATCACAGGCTCTTGAAGACTCTGGACCATCACGAGCTCTTGAAGACTCTGGACCATCACAAGCTCTTGAAGACTCGAGAGCTTACACATTAGAGGAAGAGGTCGCGGCTTATCTTGCAGTGGAATTACCAAGCTTCAGCTCAATGGCTGAAGCTTGGACTGGCCTAAAACGTAGAAGTGAAATACGACGTTACAGATCCTCCGTTTGTTCGTCTAGCTTAAGAAACGTGTCCCTCTCCGACGTGGATACTGAGAGCTCAACCTCGGCCCGTGGCATGAATACTGATAGCAAAATGAATACTGATGGGGAAATGAATAGTGATGGCAAAATGAATACTGATGGGGAAATGGTAGTGTATGTGTGGGGCAGCAACTCCTCTCACCAGCTCGCCGAGGGGAACCACGAAAAAGTTATTCAGCCTAAACTCACCTCCGCATTTGGAACAATCAAGCAGGTAAACCTCAAGTATTTGTAAAATAATAAATTCGTTTCATTTTATATTTTCAATACACATAAATTGAATTAATTTGAATTTTTGACCCTATTTGAAAGGAAGGAAGAGGACCTCTTAATTAAAAAATATAACTCAGTACGATACTCACTGCAGTGAGTGACAGAGAGCGCATTTTCTCCTCCACGAAAACGCGAAATCACGGACGGACATGGCGAGCACAATAGTGCATTTTTTCCATAAATGAGAAAATGCGCTAAAAAGTGAGCTGAATTGCTGCTCATTTGCACTCCTCACACCCCTTCCTCCTACAGGCAGAGGCAGGGCACTACTGCACGTTCCTGGTGGGGGAGACCGGCCAGGTGCAGGCGTGTGGTAAGGGCAGCTATGGCAGACTAGGTCTTGGTGACTCAAATAACCAGACCACACCGCGACCCTTGGTCTTCCCAGACCACGCCAAGATAGCATCAGTGTCTTCAAGCAACGGCAGCGATGGGCACACGCTCGCCCTGTCCAAGGACGGGGCGGTCTATTCCTGGGGAGACGGTTAGTCTGCTTAACTGTACGGTCTGCACGTGGGGAGACGGTTAGTCTGCTTAACTGTAAGGTCTGCACGTGGGGAGACGGTTAGTCTGCTTAACTGTAAGGTCTGCACGTGGGGAGACGGTTAGTCTGCTTAACTGTGTGGTCTGCACGTGCACTGTTAGAAAAAACGGCGAAAAAACGGTCCCACTGGCGTTCTAGTGGCCGGTCGCCCCGTGAAAATAAACAGTTTCGCCGATTCTATCCGATGTTTTACGGATTTCTAGTGTTAAATTAGAATAAAAACGGTGACACGGTGTTTCTTTTCACGTGCCGACCGGCCACTGAAACGCCGGTTATACCGTTAACGGTAATTTTTCTAACAGTGTGGGGAGACGGTTAGTCTGCTTAACTGTCAGGTCTGCACTTGATGAGACCGTTAGTCTGATCGGCTGTAAACTAAATAATATTAGGCAATACTTAACATAAAAAAAACAGTAGTATAGTGTACTGTAGCATAGTAAATAAATTTGTAAACGAATACGGTAAGCTGGATCACGGTAACACGGTTACGGTGAACATTATATTTAGAATTATTATTTTTTTTATCTAATAATATCATCGAAAATAAATTTCCAGGCGACTACGGCAAGCCAAGTCAAGATGTAGATAGTATTAAAATGAATATTGTAATTATGTGTGTTAGCAATATTAACATGATATAATAGCAATGTTAAAAATAAATATAAGTTATTATATTCTAGTAATGCACAGTAGTTGAATTTGCAGGCGACTATAGCAAGCTAGGTCACGATGAAGGGAGTAATAAAATGAATATTGTAGTTATGTATATTAGGGTAATATTAAACATAAATATAAGTTATTATGTTCTAATAATGCATAGTAATTGAATTTGCAGGTGACTATGGGAAGCTGGGTCACGGTAACACAGTTACGGTGAAGGTACCACGTCTGGTGGGTGGCCCACTGAGCGGGCGTGTGGTTGTCTGCGTGTCTGCAGGCTACAGACACTCTGCCTGCGTCACGCGTGACGGCGAGCTCTACACCTGGGGCGAGGGAGACTATGGCAGACTCGGTCTGTTATCCTCAATCTCTTGGTTTAGAACGAAAACTTCATAATCAGTATTAATATATAGTTAGTACACACCCTGTGTTAAATATTTTTACAACGCTCCTGATTGTCGTGCTTAAACTTATTAAAATACGACATTAGTTGACATTTGGTGGTTAAAGTACAGAAGAATAAATTAGAACGAAAATTCATTATAATCAGTATTACTATGTATAGTTAGTAAAATTTACCTTGTGTTGAATATTTAAATTACCTACAGAAGAATAAATTAGAACGAACGTTAATTATAATCAATATTAATATGTAGTTCGTACACACCTTGTGTTATATATTTAAAGTACAGAAGAATAAAATAACGAGACTGCTGCTGCTAAATATTTTTTCTAATGAACAAGTATTATGATCGGTATGTAAACCTACATATTTAGTGCATTCGCTGTTCAATGAATTCAAAGTCAAGAAGAATAAAATAACAGAGGTGATCGATCTCAAATCTCGATTAGAACGATAAAATATTATCACATAACATGTACAATTTAATAACATGTAAAATTGAAATAACATTGAAAATTCATATAAGATGTAAAATTTATTTAACATGTAAAATTCATACTACAAGTAAAATGTATATAACGTGTAAAATTCATATAACTTATTATAACATGTAAAATGTATATAACATGTAAAATGTATATAACATGTAAAATACATATAACATGTAAAATGTAGATAACATGTAAAATTCATATACGAGTAGACTAACATGACCAAACAATGATGAATTGACGACACATGTTGGTGCAGGACACGGTGACTGCTGCAGCAGGTATACATTGTTATAGCAGGCCAATGTTATATATGATATTATATATATTATATAAGTATACACTAACATGACCATGCACTGATGGTACAGGACACGGTGACTGCTGCAGCAGGTATGGCCCCACGCCCGTGAGAGGTCTCAGCGCCGTCAGCAGCGTCGTCTGTGGCAGCACGCACACCCTCGCCCTGTCTGCTGNAAATGTTGTTTTCATCAATTATGTTGTGTCAATTATCTTACAACAGATACTATTGACTGCACAATTAATTGACATTCTCTGTTCTACAGTTGCAGAACGCAGTAAGGCTGGCGCTGTTAGTGGCACGGACGCCCTTGTGGAGCTCGGTGTCCAGGCTGGTCTTGCCTTGCTGTTCTCGCTCCTGGAGGAGGGCTGGCGGCAGCAGAAGGCGACTGGTTGGTGTTACCTACGAGACTTTGGTCCTCAATATTTTGGATTCTTATTAATATTTGCATTTGTAGAGCATTTTCTCGTTTATGTAAAAAATATAACTCAGTTCTCACTGCAGCGAGTGACAGAGCGCATTTCCTCGTAGACGAAAACGTGGTCACGGACGGACGGACGGACGGACATGACGAGCACTATAGCGCCTTTTTCCATAAATGATAAAATGCGCTAAAAAGGCGCTATTGTATACTCGTCATGTCCGTCTGTTTGCCCGTGACTTCACGTTTTCGTCGACGAGAAAATGTGCTCTCTGTCACTCACTGCAGTGAGTACTGAGTTATATTTTTTTTATTTACGTCCTTTTTATTTGTATTCTTATTAAGAATGTATTCTGTTGTTTCCTTATTACATGTGCGTTCCTTTTTTCTCTTGATTGAGATGGTTATTGTCTTGAACATATAAAAAGTTGCTTAATTTTCTTTTTCAAATCGAGATTTATCAGTTGTAATGAAAACTACGATTGTCTTGTGATTCAGAATGCATTGAAATTCCTTTATCTCTTAATATACTTGTACAATATTTTGGATGTAACAGTTTCATGAGCATAACCGCCAGTGTCCCGGAGAGCAATGGAACATAACTACGGCAAACTCCTCGAACAAACATTGAAATGTATTTAATTGGCATTATTTATTTATGGGAAAAATCATTGTAATTTATTCAATTGGCATCATTTATTTACGGGAAAATCATTGTGTGTGCAGGAGTGTGGAAGTGCAGCGCTGCTACAGCGTCACTTGCAGCAAGTGTTCGATGTGAGCTGCCGGCTGCTGGCCCTCACCACCAACCTCATCACTGGGGCGAGGGAGACTATGGCAGACTCGGTCTGTTATCCTCAATCTCTTGGTTTAGAACTAAATTTTATTATAATCAGTACTAGTATTTAGTTAATACACACTTTGTTTTATATATATTTAAAATCCAAAAGAAATAAGGAGACTGCTGATGCTAAATATTTTTTCTAACGAAAAAATTATTACGATTAGCATGAATTCAATGCATTAGTTGTTTATAAATTTAAAGAATAGAAGAATAAAATACGGAGGGGTCGATTCCAAATCTCTATTCTAACAATAAAATATTATCACATAACATGTAAAATTTAATAACATGTAAACTTTATATAACGTGTAAAATTCTAATACCATGTAAAATATATAGAACATCTACAATTTGTATAACATGTAAAATGTATGACATGTAAAATTCATATAACATGTATAAATTATATAACATGTATAATTCATATAACATGTAAAAGTTATATAACCTGTAAAATTCATGTAAAATGTAAAATTCATATTACATGTAAAATTCTCACTACATGTAAAATGTTTATTACATCTTAAATTCATACTACATGTAAAATGTTTATAACATGTATAATTCATATAAGAGTATATTAGAACGAGCATACAATGACGACACATGTTGGTGCAGGGCACGGTGACTGCTGCAGCAGGTATGGCCCCACGCCCGTGAGAGGACTCAGCGCCGTCAGCAGCGTCGTCTGTGGCAGCACGCACACCCTCGCCCTGTCTGCTGACGGACGAACCGTCTGGTCATTTGGGTCCGGTGAGTCCTGTGTCTGTAGTGTGATATTTTAATGTTTTTAATTTATAATAATAATGTATGGTTCCCCTGTAATACAATATTTTAATATTTTCAATTTATAATAATAATGTATGGTTCCCCTGTAATGCAATATTTTTATGTTTATCATTTATAATAATAAAAATATATTGTTCCCCTGTAATGCGATATTTTAATGTTTTTAAATTATAATAATAATATTTTGGTTTCGGTGAATCTTGTGTCTATAAATCAATATTTTAATATTTTTTCTTGTGTCTATAAAGCAATATTTTAATATTTTTTATTTATAATAATAATAATAATAATAATATATTGGTCCCTTTGGTTTGGGTGCGTCCTATTTGCCTATAATGCTGTAAAATATTAATTTTTAGTTATACGTTAATAATCATGTTTGACATACGGTACATTAGAAGCTTTTAATAATCCGTCATCATTGTTCGTACGAACTTCCAGAATTCCATTATATTAAATGCTGCAGTGAATAACGATTGCGCTGTTTGAATCTTGCACTCAAAGAGATGAGAGATTTAATTCGTCCAGAAAGCGCACCCATTTTGGCCCGGAAAAAAGGTCCCATCAGTGCTACATACAGAAAGTGTGTCGCTATTTAGACACTCTGACCCATTAATTTCATTGAGTGCAGGCGATCAAGGGAAGCTGGGGCACGGTGACAGCAAAAAATCTTACCGTGTCACTATTTGGACACTCTGACTCACTTATTTCATTGAGTGCAGGAGATCAAGGGAAGCTGGGGCACGGCGACAGCAATAAATCTTACCGTGTCACTATTTGGACACTTTGACTCACTTATTTCATTGAGTGCAGGCGATCAAGGGAAGCTGGGGCACGGCGACAGCAAAAAATCTTACCGTGTCACTATTTGGACACTTTGACTCACTTATTTCATTGAGTGCAGGCGATCAAGGGAAGCTGGGGCACGGCGACAGCAATAAATCTTACCGTNGGTTTCAGTATTCACTATTGCAACCCTATTGGGGAATGGTTTCAGTATTCACTATCACAACCCCATTGGGGACCGGTTTCAGGTGTGGTCGTGGGGCAACGGACCGTGTCTGGGGCTGGGCATCTTAGAAACCCTGGTGCCGCGGCCCATCGTGCAGCTCAAACCTCACCGCATCGTGGACATCGCGGCTGGAGACTCGCATGTGCTTGCGCTCTCTCACGACTCTCAGGTTATTATTATTTATAATCAGTTTGATAACTAACTCATTGGGATAATTGATAAAAATCTCACGACTCTAAGGTTATTAATATTTATCATTTTGCTAAAACATTGAGATAATTGATGAAAATCTCACGACTCTCAGGTTATTAATATTTATCATCAGTTTGATAACAAACACATTGGGATAATTGATGAAAATCTCACGGCTATCATGGGTCCATTATTCGAATTTACATTCCACGTGTTGGCTAGAGGATGAAATCTGAGGACTCCCATCCGACTCCTGGATTACATTTCTTAGCTAAATGATCTCATGACACCTCAGATGGTCATTCATTATCATACTTGTACGCACGTAATCATAGATTTTCACCGCATAATCATACTTATAAGCCACATGATCATACTTTTACGCCAATAAATCATACTTAAGCTCTACATAATCATACTTTTACGCCAAATAATACTTATAAGCCACATGGTCCTGCTCATACTCCACATAATCCTACATACACATCTCAAATTCCTACTCATACGCCACATAATCACATAATCCTACTCATACGCCACATAATCCTACCCACACGCCACCTAACCCTACTAACACGCCACATAATCCTACCCACACGCCACCTAACCCTACTAACACGCCACATAATCCTACCCACACGCCACTGTCGTGGTTGACAGGGCCTTTGTTAGCCAAGTGCTTTTCAGCGCCTTTTCTCATTTATGGGAAAAATATACTATTGTGCTCGCCATGACCGTCCGTCTGTCTGTCCGTCCGTGACTTCACGTTTTCGCCGACGAGAAAATGCGCTCTGTCACTCACTGCAGTGAGTACTGAGTTATATTTTTTTAGAAAAGTGCGCGTGTTTAAAAAGTGTGCATGTTAGAAAAAATGCATCTGTTTAGGTATTGAATTTGTTTAGAAAAGTGCATATGATCAAAAGTGCTTATGTTTAGAAGGTGAATTTGTTTAGAAAAAGGCGTATGTTTAAAAAGTGAATTTGTTACACAAAAGTGAATTTATAAGAAAATTGCTTTTTAAAAAGGTGAATTGATTAGATTTTTTCTCATCTTTACTGCGTTTGGTAAAGAAGGTGTGCATCTGTTTAAAAAGTTTATTTTTTTAAAGTTCACTTGATCCTAATTGCATTTGTTTGAAAAATGTTTTTATAATTCCATTTTTAGCAAGAAGTCGTGATCCCGTCCATCCCTAGTTCAGCTTTGACTTTTTACGATAACTTTTAATTATTGATTTGAAGTTATACTGGTACTATGTACGAAAGAAAAAAAAATTTTATTTACTAGCATAGTTGAATAGTGAGTTTTGGGTCCACATTCCAATGTTTCATCTCTGTTTTTAATTCTGTATGCTGACGATAATTAGCGAAAAGCCTTTTTTTATAGAATCATGAACTTGAAATTTGAATTGCATCACATTTTATTTTCTGCGCTCATCTCTGATTTGTGGTTCTTATTCAAGCTTCAATATAGAAGAGCCTGTTATTTATCGCACTATGAACTTGCATTTCGAACACAAAATTTAGACTGCAGCACAGATACCGTCCTGTCTTACTTCATGATTTCTTATTTGAACTTAGCTTTATATTTATCAAAACAATGAAGATTTCCTTTGCATTTCAGGCGTCTAATGTCCTGCCATCGGCCGTTCTGCGTAGACCTGGACTGCATCACATTTACCGCGCTGTCTTCCTTCATGATTTCTTATTCAAACTTCAATGGAGAATAGCTTTGTATTCATCAAAACAATGAATATTTCCATTGCATTTCAGGCGCCTAATGTCCTGTCACCGGCCGTTCTGCGTAGACTTGGACTGCAGCACGTTTTCCTTGCTGCGTTCGTTCCTGAGCACCTACTGCAAGTTCGGTCCTCTACCTCAGCCTCAGCCTCCCTTCACTTCCATCCAGTGAGTGATACTCTTTTATACGTTTTTCAGGCTTTAAAGATAGAAAGATTTGAATGACAGTCAAGTCCTCAAGTTTTAAGGTTTTAAGATTTTACTGGTTTTAAATTTTTTAATTTTTTAAAATTTTAAATGTTTTATAATTTTAAACGTTATCAAATTTGAAAGGTTTTAAAGTTTGAAAGGTTTTACAATTTTAAGGTTTTAAAATTTTAAAGGTTTTAGAATTTTGAGGGTTTTAAAATTGTAAAGGTTATACAATTTTAAAGGCTTTCAAGTTTTGAAGTTTTTAGATGGTTGTTTTAAACTATTTAATTAAAAGTTGTTAATCGCAGGAGACAGCAGGAGTTCGTGTCGCTGGTGCTGCAGCTGCTCAACAGTCACTTGTCCCTCGCCCTCACCGCCGGCAAGACGCATCACTTGCTCGGCTCTGAAGCATCGCTTCTACGACAGCTCCTCTACAGGTGGGATTATTACGTGTCTTGCATGATTTATGCCAAAGCAAATATAGGACTACATTTATGAAGACAAAGTCTGTGATGAACTTATTATTATTCAGTCTAAAATGAAACTAGCTTCTACGACAGCTCCTCTACAGGTGAGATTATTACCTGTCATTCATGATGTCATAAAATGTATGACTAAATTTATGAAGACCAACACCGTGATAAACTTATTATCATTAAGACTAAAACATAACTAGCTTCTATATGACAGCTCCTCAACAAGTGTGTCTATTCCTTGTCAATATTAGTGATTATAAATCTCTGTCAATTTTATGATTATTCAGTTGAAGCCGTGATTGTCGTTGTGCATCGCAACGTGATCGAAATTTTAACCTCCAGTTATATGTAATTTTGTTATACTGCACCTGTTGTTATACTGTTATACTGCATCTGTTGGCACTTTCACTATGACTGTCTTTACCTGTTGCTGTCTATTGTCTCACACAGACAATAAACTTGCTAAGTTCCGCTATCATATTTCTGAATTCATCCTGTGTTTTTTCATACTTATTAACACGCCTGGTAATTATCGCTAAGATTATTCCTAAATTCCTCGTTTTACTTTCCCGAGATCCTCGGTTTTTCCCCTAAATTCCTCGTTTTTTCTTTAATTTTCTAACTTTTACACTAAATTTCTTGCTTTACTTTCCTGAATTCCTCGTTTTTCCCCTAAATTCCTAGTTTTATTTTCTTAAATTCCTCGTTTTTTCCTTAATTTCCTAGCTTTTGCCCTAAATTTCTTGTTTTATTTTCTTAAATTCCTCGTTTTTTCCCTAAATTCCTCGTTTTATCCTAAATTCCTCATTTTATATTATTAAATTCCTAGTTTTTTCCTTAATTTCCTAGCTTTTACCCTAAATTTCTTGTTTTATTTTCCTAAATTCCTCGTTTTATCCTAAATTCCTGGTTTTATTTTCTTAAATTCCTCGTTTTTTCATTGATTTCCTCATTTCCCCCCTAAATTTCCCGTTTTATTTCCCTACATTTCTCGTTTATTCCCCTAAATTCCTTGTTTACCATGCAGACTGATCGACACGCCGCTACCAGCCCCCCTAGAGGCGGGTGTGTGTACAGCCCTGCGCTGTCCTCTGCTGCTGCCTGCTCTGCCTCGCCGTCTGCAGCTCCTGCGCGCCCTCCTCCCCCGACGCCCTCAAGCCTGGAAGCTCCTCACCAGGGGCCAGGTCATTGCTTCCTATTTGCAACACCATTGCTAATAATAATTAATAGTAATAATTACTGATGATAATTCCTTCCGTTGTTCTCGACTATGTTGGTATGGCAGAAGTTATCGGAGTTTCTAAACCTCGCCAAGTGGCCCGATGAAGATCTTTATTACTAACTCTGTCGTTTTTTTTTATTCAGGATACTTACCATGTCGGGATATGTAGGGGCTGTAGGACCCGATATCCAGAATGCTTTTTTTCAATTGAAACCACATTTTATCTGTTGAATTTCCATCATAAATTGTATTTCATTTTTTTGACAGCGCTTGCAGCTGAGCATCCTACTGGTAAGCTTGAAGGAGCAGCAGCACGTGGCAGCGGTGCTTGGTGTCTCTCCTTCATCCCAACGTCCTGAAGAGGCCAACGCTGAGGCCACACAAGGCGAACCCACGAAGCCTTCAACTTTGTTCGCATTTGTGGCCCCGAACCTGGCGAGCTCTGAGGCTGCGGAGAACGAGAAGACTTGTGACCTGCATGCCAACCATTCCCTGGATATTAGTCCTGGATTAGGCCATGCCAAAGACGCCCGCGATGCCGGAGGCCATGCCAAAGACTCCCACGATGTCAGTGGCCATGCCAAAGACGCCCAGGAGGCCAGTGGCCATGCCAGCCAGTCACTCGTGGAGGATCTTCTCCACGTGCTCGTTCTCAATCTCGGCCACCACGCTGTTAGTGTCTCTTATTGTCTTCAGACACTGAATCATTTTCAAAAATTTCACATCCATCATTTTTTTATTAAATGTTAAATTATCCTGAATGGGCGAATGGAAGGCGACTCGTATAAAATAACTTATTATTTATGTAATCTACTCCATCCACAGCGAGTATTTAATTTACTTAATCTAATGCGATTATTTAATATAGTGTAATTAAGTTCGATTATTTAGTGTAGTGTAATAAAATTCGATTATCTAATGTAGTGTAATTAAGTCAGCCTTTTCATTGGCAGGAGCAGCAGCTGGCCCTGGTAGCGCGAACTGATGTGAAGGGGCGGTGTGGGGAGACGGTTAGTCTGCTTAACTGTACGGTCTGCACGTGGGGAGACGGTTAGTCTGCTTAACTGTATGGTCTGCACGTGGGGAGACGGTGAGTCTGCTTTACTGTACGGTCTGCACGTAGGGAGACGGTGAGTCTGCTTAACTGTACGGTCTGCACGTGGGGAGACGGTTAGTCTGCTCAACTGTATGGTCTGCACGTGGGGAGACGGTGAGTCTGCTTAACTGTACGGTCTGCACGTAGGGAGACGGTGAGTCTGCTTAACTGTACGGTCTGCACATAGGGAGACGGTTAGTCTGCTTAACTGTACGGTCTGCACGTGGGGAGACGGTTAGTCTGCTTAACTGTACGGTCTGCACGTAGGGAGACGGTGAGTCTGCTTAACTGTACGGTCTGCACGTAGGGAGACGGTGAGTCTGCTTAACTGTACGGTCTGCACGTAGGGAGACGGTTAGTCTGCTTAACTGTAAGGTCTACACGTGGGGAGACGGTTAGTCTGCTTAACTGTAAGGTCTACACGTGGGGAGACGGTTAGTCTGCTTAACTGTACGGTCTGCACGTGGGGAGACGGTTAGTCTGCTTAACTGTAAGGTCTGCACGTGGGGAGACGGTTAGTCTGCTTAACTGTGTGGTCTGCACGTGCACTGTTAGAAAAAACGGCGAAAAAACGGTCCCACTGGCGTTCTAGTGGCCGGTCGCCCCGTGAAAATAAACAGTTTCGCCGATTCTATCCGATGTTTTACGGATTTCTAGTGTTAAATTAGAATAAAAACGGTGACACGGTGTTTCTTTTCACGTGCCGACCGGCCACTGAAACGCCGGTTATACCGTTAACGGTAATTTTTCTAACAGTGTGGGGAGACGGTTAGTCTGCTTAACTGTCAGGTCTGCACTTGATGAGACCGTTAGTCTGATCGGCTGTAAACTAAATAATATTAGGCAATACTTAACATAAAAAAAACAGTAGTATAGTGTACTGTAGCATAGTAAATAAATTTGTAAACGAATACGGTAAGCTGGATCACGGTAACACGGTTACGGTGAACATTATATTTAGAATTATTATTTTTTTTATCTAATAATATCATCGAAAATAAATTTCCAGGCGACTACGGCAAGCCAAGTCAAGATGTAGATAGTATTAAAATGAATATTGTAATTATGTGTGTTAGCAATATTAACATGATATAATAGCAATGTTAAAAATAAATATAAGTTATTATATTCTAGTAATGCACAGTAGTTGAATTTGCAGGCGACTATAGCAAGCTAGGTCACGATGAAGGGAGTAATAAAATGAATATTGTAGTTATGTATATTAGGGTAATATTAAACATAAATATAAGTTATTATGTTCTAATAATGCATAGTAATTGAATTTGCAGGTGACTATGGGAAGCTGGGTCACGGTAACACAGTTACGGTGAAGGTACCACGTCTGGTGGGTGGCCCACTGAGCGGGCGTGTGGTTGTCTGCGTGTCTGCAGGCTACAGACACTCTGCCTGCGTCACGCGTGACGGCGAGCTCTACACCTGGGGCGAGGGAGACTATGGCAGACTCGGTCTGTTATCCTCAATCTCTTGGTTTAGAACTTTTGGGTCCGGTGCGTCCTGTGTCTGTAGTGAAATGTTTTGATATTTTTAACTATTACGGTAACAATTATAATAATTATAATATATTGGTCCCTTTGATTCCGGTGCGTCCTATGACTATAATGCAATATTTTGATGTTTATAATTTATAATAATAATTATAATATATTGTTCCTTTGGGTCCGGTAAGTCCTGTGTCTGTAATGTAATATTTTAATGCTTTTGATTTATATAGTAGTACAATATTTTAGAACATTAATGCAATAGTGCAATATTTTCAACTTATAATAATAATAATAAATTGTTCCTTTGGTTCTGATGAGTCCTGTGTCTGTAGTGTAATATTTATATGTTTATCTTTTATAATAATAATAAATTGTTCCTTTGGTTCCGGTGAGTTCTATGACTGTAGGATAATATTTTAATGTTTTAAATTTATAATAATAAGATATTGATTTTCTTTGCTTTGGGTTCGTCCTAAATGTCTATAATGTCAAATGATAATAATTTTTAGTTGTAATAACAATAATTGGTGATATACATTAAAAGCTTTTAATAATCCATCACAATTGTTCGTATGAACTTTCCTATATTCTAGAATTCCATTATATTAAATGCTGTGATCAATAACGACTGCGCTGTTTGAATCTCACACTCAAAGAGATGAGAGATTTCATTTGTCCAGAAAGCCCATCCATTTTGGCCCAGAAAAAAAGGGTCCATCAGTGCTACATGCAGAAATTGTCACTATTTGGACACTGTGACTCACTTATTTCATTGAGTGCAGGCGATCAAGGGAAGCTGGGACACGGCGACAGCAATAAATCTTACCGTGTCGCTATTTGGACACTGTGACTCACTTATTTCATTGAGTGCAGGCGATCAAGGGAAGCTGGGGCACGGCGACAGCAATAAATCTTACCTTGTCACTATTTGGACACTCTGACTCACTTATTCCACTGCGTGCAGGCGATCAAGGGAAGCTAGGGCACGGCGACAGCAATAAATCTTACCGCCCCCGGGCCATCGATGGCCTCCTGGGCCTCACCATCACTAAACTCGCCACCGGCAGCCACGTGTCTCTTGCTCTCACCTCTACCAACGAAGTGAATATCTGTCCTAATTTATTTATTATTATTATTTTCTCTGATGCTAGCTTCTTAAATATTTAGCATCATTTCTAATTAAAATGTCAGTAAGTCGAAAAATGTTCCAGGTGAATATCTGTGTCCTGATTTATTTATTGTTTGTCTTTGTTGTAAGCTCCATAAATATTTAGCATCATTTTTAATGAAAATGTCAGTAAGTCGAAAAATGTTCCAGCACTACTATAACGCTGGAAAGTTTTCGGGCTCGTTAAATAAGGAAAGTTTCTTAGTTTTGTGGTCTATTTGTTGAGCGTTTTTATAACTTCCCTGACATGTGTGATATTCTATCTAGAGCAATGCTAGAGTTCAATTTTTAGTTAATGAACGTTTTTTTACATTTCCGACATGTCGGATGCTATATTGGTATATCACTTACCTGTTCATCACCAAACTCGATAGTATTTCCAGCAGATTATTTGCCAAGCATATTGTTTACAAATGTTATTATATTAATTTTAATAATATTGCCATTTTTATAATTATGCATTGTGTTATCATATCTTTATCACAATTATATAATATTATATTAATCCCAACCCAAACTTACTGCTGCTCCATAATTACTATTGCGATATGTTCGTTACAAAATTCTATAGTTTTCTATGCAGACTATTTGCTAAGCTAATTATCATCACGATTACTATATATTGTTATTCTACTCTCAACCCCTTGGGTCTTCTTTATTTGCCTATTCACTATCACAACCCTATTGGGGAATGGTTTCGGTATTCACTATTGCAACCCTATTGGGGAATGGTTTCAGTATTCACTATTGCAACCCTATTGGGGAATGGTTTCAGTATTCACTATTGCAACCCTATTGGGGAATGGTTTCGGTATTCACTATCACAACCCCATTGGGGACCGGTTTCAGGTGTGGTCATGGGGCAACGGACCATGTCTGGGGCTGGGCATCTTAGGGTCTTCTTTATTTGCCTATTCACTACTACAACCCTATTGGGGAATGGTTTCGGTATTCACTTTTACAACCCTATTGGGGAATGGTTTCAGTATTCACTATCACAACCCCATTGGGGACCGGTTTCAGGTGTGGTCGTGGGGCAACGGACCGTGTCTGGGGCTGGGCATCTTAGAAACCCTGGTGCCGCGGCCCATCGTGCAGCTCAAACCTCACCGCATCGTGGACATCGCGGCTGGAGACTCGCATGTGCTTGCGCTCTCTCACGACTCTCAGGTTATTAAGATTTATCATCAGTTTGATAACTAACTCATTGGGATAATTGATGAAAATCTCACGACTCACAGGTCATTATTATTTATCATTTTGGTAAATAAACACATAAGGATAATTGATGAAAATCTCACGAGTCAAAGGTTATTAGCATTTATTATCAGTTTGATAATTAACTCATTGGGATAATTGATGATAATCTCACGACTCCCAGGTCATTAATATTTATCACCATTTTGATAAACAAACACATTGGGATAATTCATGAAAATCTCACGACTCTCATGGGTCAATTATTCGATTCGATTCCACGTGTTAGCTAAAGGATCGGATCTCATGACACCTCAGGCGGTAGTTCATAATCATACTTCTATGCTGCACAATCTTTCTTCTGTGCCTTATAATCATACTTATTTGCCTCATAATCATACTTGTACGCCACGTAATCAGAGATTTTCACCGCATAATCATACTTTTACGCCACATAATCATATTTATCACCTTAAAATCGTAATTTTTTACCACATAATCATAATTTTTCGTAATCCCACTTATACGCGAGTAATCATACTTATACGCCACACAATCATACTTATACGCCACTTAATCATATTTATACGCCACAAATCATACTTACACGCCAGAAAATGAAACTTGTACGCCACCTAACCCTACTCACACGCCACATAATCCTACTTGTACCGCAGGTGTTCGCGTGGGGCGCCAACGCGCAGGGGCAGTGTGGTCAGGGCCACACCATCACGCCGCTGC